CTCTGATTAAGTACTTCGATCTATACCCAGTATTAAGTAGAATGAAATTACACCTCTTAGATTCGAATGATAGACAACTAACTCAGTATTACATCGGGAAAAATGGAAATATTTATACCCGTACTGCGAACCATCCAGTAAATAACCTAAGACGTGTAGATTGGAGAGAAACGTACTTATCAATCCAAGACGTGGTGATTCATGATAGAAGATTCCTTGATTATATTGCCTCAACCAAGGAGTCCAACGTATTTAAAGACTTCGATAAACCTTTGAAAGTTGGTCAGCTCATTGGAAAAAAACGAAAGCTTTCAGATCCGTTAGAAAATGACAAGTCCAATCAATCGAAGCAACGTCTTGATGATGCATATGCAGTTGACGTTGGAACTTCTACAGACGACGATCCAATTGAAGCTAAGGCAAGATTAAAATGGGCAATCTTTACGAATGCAAAAGCGTTAGGCTTGAATAAGAAAATCGTACCAATTTTTAATAGAAGGAACAAAAAATGTCAAAAGATTACATTTGGATTGACGGCGACTCAATTCGGGTCTTTAAAAATATTACCACCTAACCAAGTGAAGCATTGACCAAGAAAGTGGACTGGTTATATACATACAACGAATTTGTTAAGCTTGTCGAGGGTCGTAATGACATCAAACTGTTCATGAATGGATATAATGAACACACCGCCAGAAATTATGAAAACTTTATCCAAGGCGAAGGTGAAACACGCCGCGGAATTTTGTCAGGAAAAAACGAAGACGATGATAAAAATCTAAGCCCCTGGAGCTAAAACAATCCTAACCAAATATTATCAAAAGCTTCAAAAATCAAAAGTTGAAATTTCTTTTAAGCTGAAACCTTTCATTGATACGGAAGAAGGACCTAAATATCATGATATATACTACTTCGGTCAGCCAACAGGTAGGAGTATACTGAATATTATGTATGTCGATGCTGACGATGAAAACAAGGAAAAGAAGCTTGATTAAAAACTATCGAGCCAGCTAAAGAAGTCGATCCGATGGATGGACACATTTACAGCTTTATTGGATGGATTTGAAGAATTAGATAAGTATCTACATGATAACCCCGACGCAATGCTGAGAAAGAATCTTGATTATGATCTTCAGATCATGAATGACGCTCTAAACTCTAATACTAAATCAACGCAGGCTACAACCCGAATTAACACCTATAAAACAGATGACAAATATGAGGATGGCGCATTGAAGAAGTTGCACGATGATTCGGAGCAAGCATTTAAGAAGTGCGTTGAGGCTCAAGATAGGTATGAGAAGGTAAAATCTAACGCAAAGCATCAGAACTCAAAAGCAGCACGATCCGCACTAAAGGCCGCTTCTTCTGCTGTGAAGGCTACTAAAGCGGTGTTTGATATTAAAAAGAAACTGTATAATGATGCCGCCGCTGCAGACATAGATGACTTCAACGATCGACAAACGGACCGCTCAGTAAAACAGACCATGAATGGCATGCTTAACCAGGTCGGAGGGAGTGGTCTTAAGGGACGTGGATTGAGAGGAGCTGGTGTTGCCCCGCTGGATGGAGTTGTGCGTCGTGGGAGAACCTACAACCTCAATGAGATCCAAGGCTTAGCCACTCCATCGGCATACGTCTATCGACACCTCGGTTCTAAGTACATTCGGGTCCCCGATCTTGAAAACAAAACTCTGGTCATTGTTCAGCCGGATCGCCGTAGATGCGGACCAAAGCGAGATATCAGTGGTCCGCTGCAGTCAATGATTCGAACTCTTGCACTTAAACAACATATCGATCAGGAAGAGTATGACAAGCTCACTGTCGACGATAAAAAAATATTTAAAGAGATCCTCGCGATTACCCATCTACAATACAATTTCCATGATCGGCTTGAGGATCCGTTAGAATCCCTAAGAGCGGAGTATGATAAACTTAAAGGTGAGCTTGAGTTGGGTAATGATAATCCTTCAATCATCAAGCAACTGAAATCACTTAGTGTGGATATGTACTCCAATCGTTTAATTTCGGATTCTGAGTTCAAAAATATTATCGTCCGATTGATATAGAGCAGAGTTGTTCTCAGATCTGCGATCCTTCGAACTTCGTTCTAATAGAGATGTTCTTTTTCAATCCCCGAATTATTTCCAGCTCAGGTGGTAGATATGGCGATAACGCTGATCTCAACGTCGCAGAGCTAAAAACCATCATGAAAAATCTTATCATCCATGACCGCCTCAGGCAGCGGTTTGGGCAACGGATATTGACAAGACGCTCAAGAAAACGGATGCATCAACCCAGACAGAAGGAGGGAAAGTATGGGCATACTCAACTAAAAAAAATCGAAGTCTGTGAAGACATTTGCTATCTAAGCAATACCGAATCTAATAGCTCTATTCGCCATTCCGCGGTATATGCTAATTTTTTTCTCTCCGACATGTATTTCCATTATCGCATCCTCCCCAGTCTTTGCATCTCGGATAGGAACGAATGCACTATCTCCGAGAGCTACGATTTGATCAGCGTGCATGATTGTAGAACCAATTATCTGAGCAGGATCATCAGCAGTTAAATTCGTTTTGAGATCTTTGCTTAGTACGCAACCCATTTCTTGTATATTATTACCAAAGAAACTTCTTAGCAAGATAATCTGCTGTAAAAGGGGGATAGTCAATCTTATGACGCTTGTAGTAGCGCTCTCGTCGCTTTGGGTCGTTATGATCCAGGTGAGTAAAAGCTTTAAAAGGCGTTCGATCTCTAAAATGCTGATATCTTTTATCCCCAAAATCGACACGAAATAGTCTCTCACCATCTCTAATCCATACTCTATATTTTTGTCCTTCAATGGACTCAGCTGCCAGTGTTCAATTTTCGTCTCCCTGTATATTTTACTCGGAGATATTCGATCGTAGTTCATCGAGGTCAGCTTTTAGATCTCTGATTTGAGCAATTAATAACTTGATTGCTGCAACATTTAAAGCGCTTAATGATCCATAGTCAAGAGTGTATTGAAATCCTTCTAAATCAACGTCTGGGTCTTCAATAATCATATTTTCATTAGGGAAGAAGCTAACCAGTTCTTGAGATACCTGCATGGCTTCTTGCGCAATCAATCCTAGCTTGAAATTATCTTCTTCCTTATATCTATATGAAACTGGGTTTAGCTTATCATAGTGAGCAAGTGTAATATTGATTGGGTTGATATCCGTTTTACGACGGCGATCGCTCTCTGCATACACTCCGGTCTTCACAAGGATTGATCCAGTAAACAAAGCACTGAGCGTAGCACTATAAGGTCCAAGACCAAGATTAGAGTACGTACCACCTGCAACTTGGTAGAGGTATGCGGTTGCTGTCCCTCCAGCACCAATCGAATAAGTCGCATTAGTTCCACTAACATGAAGAGGGCAGGCCGGAGAACTTGTACCTATCCCAAGTCTTCCAGTGGTGGTAAGAGACATTTAAAGTGAGTTATTACACATAAATCGAACATCATTATTGGTAACGGTCCCCATATAAACTGCATTAGCTGTCGTCGTATTTGCTCCTGTCGATAGCTGAAACGCAAACCCGACAGGCGCCGAAGCATTAGAAGATTCAAGGAACATAGCGGTATCATACCCAGTGGAACCGTCGTTCAGGTCGTTTGAGCAACGAATATACATATTACCACCCTGAAGTGTTATGGGTGCTGTCCCGTACGTCGCATTGTTATAGGGAGTTGTAGTATTAAAACACAGCCTCGCTTTGCTTGATGAGACAGACAGTAAAATATTACCACCGCCGACTGCTGTTGAATTAGAAGAGGTGTTGCAAACCAAATTAAGAGCTGTGTGGTTTGTCGATAATTGGCACCAATCCGTCGTCCCCCAAGCCTGCGTTGCTTGAAGAAAGCCTTCGCAGATATTCGTTTGAAAATTATACATTCCACCGATTGATCCGTTAACGATCGCGAGAGGAATAAACGTTCCAGCAGAGCTTGTACCGCCAATTCCGGAAACGTCGTATCCATCGTATATCCTCAAACCCCAAGTCGGTTTTTGAATACTTCGTGATCTGCTTCCAATTGTGATTCCTTGGTCATCCCCTGCTCTGAAGATGCTCCATCGAGATTTAAAGGAAGTCGTTGTATCAAAGCTAAGGGCAAAGCTTGTAGCTGTCCCAAGCGGAAATGAGCAAACTCCGACCGACGATAGAGAAAGACACTTATTCGCGGCAGCGTCTCCTAATGATGATGGCTGGCTATCAAACGATAGAGTCGATCCACCGAGCTGATAAGAACCAGCATTTACCGTACCACTTACAGTTAGATCGCTCAATGAACCAAGGCTGGTAATATACGGTTGAGAACCCGTTTGAAGAGTACCGGTAAGATATGTAGAGCTGATACCAGACGAAGCATCGAGAACCAAAGCCTTGGACGCAGCAGCTGATCCAGCAGTTATTTATCAAGAGTTGTACGAATATTTGCGAGATAAGTTGGATGGATTTATTACCTTTGCCGATCCAGATAACCCTCCTAAGGTTGATCAGGTGCGTCATACTCCATTAAGCTCTAACAAACCGGAGCTTGTTATCATCGATGACTATAGCAATGATCGCCTACTACAGAAAAATCTGTTCTCTCATTACTATACTCGTGGTCGGCACTTCAAACTTAGTACGATATTCCTTAGCCATAGCTACTTTGCTACCGATAAGATGATTCGTTTGAATTCAGAATATGTAGCAATCCTAAAAGCGAACTCGAAGCGTGATTTACAGATGGTAGTCAAAGACTTCAACATCAAAGACGTTGATGATCGATCAATCGTCTATTTCTACAAGAGCGAAAAGGACAGATGTTGTTCGTGGATTCAGTCAAAGGTCAGCTTCGATACAATTTCGATAGACCGATCGCCAAAATTGATACGGATATTTATTCATAATCGTTGGTATATACCAACGATTATGAATAAATATCCGTATCAATTTTGGCGACAGCCATATACATTACCACAATGGCAAGCTTTGTTAAACTCGATTCCACTAACCTCGTTCAAGATGGATACAGCAGCACATGGAAGTACAACTTCCCGGTTGACTTTCGGGCTGTAGCATGCGCGGTTCAATCCATCTCGAGGTTTAACAGCGAATATAACATCGATGCAGCTCAGTTCCTGAACAATACGTTTAAAATTGAGGTCCCAACCGCTGGAACCACATCCACTGTTTTCGTTAGCTTGCCGGATGGACTTTACAGCTATACCGATATTAATCGAAGCATTCAGACAGCCCTCGTAAATGCCGGAGCCTATTTAATCAATCCATCCGGTGAGAATGTCTTCTATTTTCAGCTGAGTGAGAACAGTGTTTATTACGCGGCTTAATTCGACTTTAGCGCTACTCCAGCAACCCTTCCTACAGCTGGTGGCACTTGGACACGTCCTGCTACTGGACTTTACTCCTCGGGCGGTACTGGGTTACCGACTACGACTCGTGTCCCACGCCTAATCATCGATAACGCCGCGTTTGGTAAAGTGGTAGGTCTGTCTGCTGGTACGTATCCTTCGGCGTCCGCAACGGTTTCAAGTGCCCAGCTCTCGAATACCATGCCTCAAATTCATCCAACATCTTCTTACATTGTTCGATGTGATCTAATTAAAAATGAGTATGTAGCCTCTGGCGATATCTTATCAGCATTTGATCGCGGCGATGCTCAAGTTGGACAACTAATCAGCTATAAGCCGAGTCTGTATGCTTGGATGAGCTGTCACAACGGGTCACGTACCTCAATCACGATCAGTATTTACAATCAAAACGATAAGAAGGTTAAGTTCCGTGATACTTCTGTCTCAATCATGTTGTTGCTGAGGCCAAAAAAAAAGTATTCAATGATTTTTTTTCTTACAATCGAAAAGAGCCAGCAACCATTGGTTTCTTACGCTTCGCACGCAAAGCGGCCATTTTAGCCTTCATTTCAGGACTGCCTTTAGCTGGTTTCTTAGGGACTCCTACACCATAGCGTCTCTTTACCTCACCTCGAACCGATTTGATCAGGTTCTCATGCTCTGGCTTGGTTGCTTTTGATAGTAGAAACTTCTCACCTGCATCGACTGCATCAGTTAGAACCCTATTATGTTTAGCATACCCGAGAGCATTTTCGCCGCCTTCTTAGCACTTGCTATAGATACACGCCCCCCTTTTTCTCTAAATCACTGTCAAAGTCATATACTCCAACTCCTGTCAATGACTTAACCCCTTGAACGCGACGGCCTGTATTAGACACGATATCAGAAAAAGCTTATCCTGGACCATACACGATAAGGAATTTTGACTTGACGTTTGTATTGAGGTTTACAAACTTTAAATGAAATAGGGGACGGGGTGCCGGGTTGTCTCACCTACTCTTTTCCCGCTCGAAGTGCGTCTTTCCATTTTCTAAAAATTGAGTCTAAGAGGTTTTAGTGTGGTGTGGACTACGTATGACAAATTCTTACAGTCAATAGCTCACACGCCACTCATTTCACTCATTAAAGAATTTGCGCCGAGTCCAAGAGATGTCAGGTTTTCGCGCCCGCTGGGCTGAGCTGAAGAAGGAAGGCTGGTCTTCGAAGAGGCCGGCTGGCCTCTCTGTTGACTTCACATACTTGAAGCCTGGTAAGACCAAGAAGGACACCCGTGGCGTCGATGTTTTCGTCGGAGAAGAGGAATTAATGCGCTACTTAGACCGCATTGATCTTGGTAAGACCTTGAATTATTTTGCATTGCATAATGACAGTCTAAGGTGTTATATTGAAACAGAGAAAGCTGCCAAAGAAGCACAGCAGCCTACACTACCAGAAGCAGCCTCTGCTACGACTGCTGAATGCGTTGAGCCTCAGGAAGACGTCGATGCCACGTCTAGCGGTATTGTGATGCTTGGTCTTGAATATACACGATATTCTGCCGGCTAATGATGTATAATACAAACGTGGTACTTACAGCAGTTACGTTACGCGAGGAGAGCAATACAGAAGGTGGTGATCAGCAAAATGAGGACAGCAGAGACACGAATGATGTTGTTGCCCAAAAAACAACGCCAGTCAATGGTATGATGCTGTGTTTACCTGTATTATACCGTTTAGCGTGCGATCTAACATGTATATTGCTGCTGTGTTGTAGATGGAGTTAATGGCGTCTCGCGCAGTGATAGTGATGGCAGCCAGCCTTCACCGACGTTGCGCTGCACATCGCCTCATCTCTCTCCAACCCCACGAGTCGAGTACCCCGACGTGTCAGCTCGTATGACTTATAGCCTCCAGTCTGACGATGAGCCAAGCTCGGAAGATGATCCCGAGATTCAACGCAATCTGGACCCGGCGTTTGACGAGGTTGATGAGACCGTACGACAAGAAGAGATTACGGGTCCTCGCCGGTCGGCAAGGATTGCTGCGTTTTGTGATGGTGCGTTTTAGATCGTATGTACACGTTTGTGATACAGGCTACTGATCGTAGATTGTATACTTGTGCAGTAGCAGATATCAACATTACTGTAGACGCAGACGATCCTGAGGAGTACCAAGCCATGGTGTCCGATGCTGAAAACGATGACGGGTGTTCTGACGGCGCTGACAGTGCACTCGGAGATGAAACTGAAGGCGGAGACGAAGACGAGCTGGAAGAAGATGATGAAGATCCAGCAGAAGCATTGTTTGACGACGATCTTTTAACTGCGGTTGGTGGTATGGCTAGTACTAAAGTATAAGAAATACTACAAGTCGCTTTTTCTGGGCTTCATCGACCTGGCAACAGTCAATGCTTTTATTGTGTACAATCGACAGCGTACTATTGATGGAAAACCCAAGCTCAGCCATGTCAAGTTCCTGAAGCAACTACATTTGGAGCTGACGCAGTTGCAGGAGACGGATTGGGATGCTCTCCGCGCGGTGGAGCGTACCCCGAAGAAGTCACGCGCTCCGCCATTGCAGCGAACCCACGTACCGGTGCAGGTGGATGAGTGGAGGGATGGAAACAACGGGAAAGGTCGAAAGCGACGTCAACGAGCATGCAAAGTATGCTCGGTGCTCAAGGGCTCCGACGAGTCGCGAGGGGGCGAAACTACATTCTACTGTAGCACCTGCAAGCTACACACAAGCTCAAAGCAGCCACTGGCGTCGCGTGTGTACCTGTGCAACAATGTCAAGCATGTAAACAACGGTGAGTCCGTTTTGTGCTTCGAGATTTGGCACAAGCATTGGCGTAACGGCAGCCTGTTGCCGCCGTCACAGAGAAAGCGAAAGATCCGCGCGCGCAGGCCAGCAGCCGATAGTGTCGAAGAAGCAAAGTCTGCGAGTGGTGACAGCGGGGATGATGACACCAGTAGGCCGTCAAAGAGACGTCTCAACGACGCTGCGACACCATAAGCAGATGATTTTGCGATCTTAAATGTCTTGATAAAAGTATGAAATCTGTATCTCCCTTTTTACCTGAACTTGTTAGGAGAAAAGTGCGCTGGGCTGTGAGCAGTTTTTGTACGTTCCTGGACACGATATCTTGGTATAGTGTATTTTAAAGTCAAATATTCTTGTAGGATACACGATATCAAATTTTCACCATCCTAGGTGTTGGGGCTCAATGCGTTTAACCATCCTACAGGATTAATTTTATACCAGTCTAACTATTAAAACCCTTCCCCGACATACACGTTAACGTCGAAAGGGTTTCGGTAAATGGGTGCACTGGAAAACCTTCGCGTTCAAGGGGTTAATAGCCGCCCTTGCGGGGATTCCTGCTTGAGGGGTTTTAAACGCTGTAGCGATAGCAGGCACTGCCGCATCCAGACCCTTGCTGAGCAAACCACTATCTTCTGTCGATAACCCTGATTTGATTTTACTCCAAATGGATCCTTCTTGGAGCTTCTTGTAGCCTTTTTTTATCTCATGCTCGGTAATATCGAGTCTAACGCCACGACCCGCCTTGCGTGCCTTAAGTGCTTTCTCATACGAAGCTGGGTGGAGATGGATAACAGAGCCTGAACCCTTGAGTTGATCAGCTGTAAGGCTTAGCTTACCTGTCTTTTGGGCTTTAGTCAGCTTGGGAGCTGGAACATCGCTAGAAATCGTCAATTCGCGATACATTATTGCTATATTCTCTGAAACATATTTAATACAGAATTGACAAATTCAGATCTTTGAATCGATTCAATAGATTCATCTTATTTTTTTGCTTGCAATGTAGCCATAGCATACACCATATTCCGCAATAATCGCCATAAGTGCCTTGATATTGTTTGGGATTGTAACGCCCGATACCATACTTCGTAGGTGCCGCTTCTCCCATTGAATCGAAGAATTCACCATCATGAACAGCCTGCCAGTGTCCTACATCAAGATTAGGTGGTCTAAGTAGAACCAGATATGAACCTTGCTTCGGTAGCGGCTTTGTGATCTCATTTGACTCAAAGATAGCATCGAGATGAACCCCAATACGCTTGGCAAGCTCAATTAGATCATGATCGGATGTAATAGGCTTGACGAGATCCATAATAATTATTTTTGAGAAAGTATATTACATGCCATATAGAATCTCAACGATGTCTGAAACACATCTTTCCGAGAAATACCTCTACCAGAGCTCCCTCAAGAGTGATCCAGAGATTAAAGTCTCCTCTGGCAAGCGCGTGCCTTTCGTTATCGATCTTAACCAAGGATCGTACCAGAATGGTGTTATTACTATCGATGCTACATCCCAGCTTAATGGAAGTGAAGGATTTGCTTCGCTACGCGATGCATACATTATGCTTCCTTACAAGGTGAGCATGAAGAATACGCATACCACTACTCCTCAGGCTAATCCTGCTAACCGTTTTTGCGTTTCGCTGAAGTGCGGAAATTGGAATGTGATCGATTCGATGAGTCTTGAGCTGAATGGTAAGACTATCGTTTCTATGGATGACTACAAACTGTTTTGGAACAATATTCGTGCTCAGACTGGATATAGTCCTCAGTATGTTGAAAAGCATGGTGCAGAGTCTTTCCTCTTCCCTGATGCTGCTCAATCAACAAAGTACAGTGCTACAGTCGCTACTACTGAAGATGGCTATTCGAATAACACAACGTACTCCTCCACCTTCACCGCCAGCGCTACCTCTGCTACAGCTTCAGTAGTAAATGATGGTTTTGTGAAGCGCCTTCTTTCGAACCCACCAAATGCTGGAGCTGACTCATCTACGTCGTGGCCTTCCACTGGTGCCGCATCTGCTACAACCACCATCGCTAATCAGCTGGGGCGTGGCGTTTTCGTGACTGGTGGCTATGCTGCTGGCGCTATCATGGGAACGTGGAACTACATGCTAAAAATCAACTCCACCCGATTTTCAAGGAGCTTGATCTTATGGCTAACCCTCAAATCCGTCTTCGTTTCCGCGTTAATCAAGGTACTGCTGCTATTTATATTGATACTTCTCGCAATATGACGCTTACAAGTACTACACTATCGAGTGGTAATACATGCCCAGTAATGGTCGGGCGTAGCTTGGTCCGCACGCTGTTTGATCTTGACCCGGTGAAAGCTTGAATGGGAGCCACATACAGAGCGTGCCTGTCGCTCATTGACGTATTTCGGCCAATCACATTAGCCTCGAACTAAGAAAAATATTACGGCACACCGTTACGGATTAGAAAGCCCTTTTTAGATCAAGACAGTCTTGATCTAAAAAGACTCCGAAGGGAGTCTTGAAGACTCCCTTCGGAGCTAGTTATAAAATGCGGCAAAACGACAGAAAGGCACAATACTACGTGCCGCTAATGGAGCGTGCTGCGCGCTCGCTTCAGCCTCATCTAGGATATCGCTACGCACCACACTGCATCCATCGCTTTCCTACGGGTGTAAATTGATTAAGAACGTGTTGAATCGTCGCCATCTACGAAAAGTCCGCGGACAAGACGGTACAAACTCGAGTGCCTTGGGCGCATCGCCACCCAAGGAAATGTAGGTCATGTTTGCTTCGTTTGTCTGTTGTGTAAGCATTAAACGCATCCCTACCTACACCAAACGTCGCCTCGCACGTCTAATCGAGCGATTGATGCCAGCGTACGCCTACAGCCATGGCCCGTGGCTGGCCACCGATTGGTATCAGCTTGTGCAATTTTATTCGCGGGATTAAAGTTATTCTGATTTTGAAAGTCAGAATAAAGATCAGGGATGCCGAATATTGCATTTTTATCTATTGCTAATCAAAGCAGAAAAAAAATAATTGGGTAAGAGAGCTGGCAAGACCGAAATAGATTATTGAGCTTCCTCAACTCAGAAAATTGATTATTGGTGCAGCAATATTGGTACACAGCGAGGGCACAAGTACTAAAGAATTTAAGGCTGATTGAACACCGCCCAATAGATTATTGGTGCTACAACGAGGCGAAAATAAATAATTGGAATTACTCTTTAGAAAGCCTCCAATAAATAATTGGTGCTTTCTTATTGCAATAATTGCAGCACCAATTTATTTTTCGGCATCCCTGATAAAGATAATCCGAGAATAGCTTCTAAGCCAATGAATTGTCGTAAAGGGCTAGGTTAGACTATCTTCATTTATTTTTATTCTATTGTCACCAATTTGCCGAAGCGGAGAAAGGCGCGAAGCGAACGGCGAATCGACGCTGCGTTGTTAGAGGTCAAATTAAGTAAACATTTTTTATTATGCAATAAGAAACTAGATACACGTTGAAGTTAAAGTGACAGGCTGTCACTGACAGCGCATCTCGCACTGAAGACTCCGCGCACTTGTCATAAATGACGATGGTGAGTCAGAGGATTATTCTGTATTAGCGCCAAAACGCATTCTGTATGATAGGCTACACGATTGGGTGCGATTGGGCTTGTCGTGTCTCTCAGACGCCCGCGGAAATTTCGAATAGCGCACAATACTTAATCTCAAATGAAACAGCCGCTTAGGGGCTGTTTCATCATAATAATAACGAGACGAATCGAATACATAGGAACTGCATTTAGAAACTGGGCTAAAATCTTGGAGCCTGAAGTTGTCGACAACGGTTCTGAAAAGCAAAAACGACATTCAAGTTCTACATGTCTACACGCTGTATTGCTCATTTATCATCTAACTGAAAGGATGAATTGCGTCGTCGAGAATTGAATGCTGTCCCTGAAAACACGGCACTCGACGATCCAGAGGTTTCTGGCGAGGAAGGATCTACCGTCAAGGCAATATGAGACGGAGCGTCTTCTTCTGCTACTATCACCGACGAGTTTTTCGTTTCAAGCTTTGGACGGCTCTTCCTGCATCGTCGCATCCACTGCCATCGCAGCCAGAGACCAAGTACAGCGACCACAACAAAACCAAAAATACCGCGCGTCTGCTTTTCCGAACGTTCACGCGCTCGAACAATCGCAGCAGCCTCTTCATCCTGTGTAGCTTGCATGTCGTTCTCCATCTTCGCTACTTCCTCTTCTTCTTCCTTATTAAAGAGGCCACGACCTTCGATCGAAAACCCAATAGCATGTTGCTCGATCGGCAGGTACTTGGTGTTCTCAAGACTTAAAATCAGCGATGGAGTCCCATTACCGTCAGGTGCACGTGGGTTCAGCATGAAGCACGTGTACTGTCCTAGTCGGCGCATCTTACACTGCACTCGATATTTATCCAAATCACGTGTAAGGGACGCTGCAGTGCCATCACCGCCTGTAAATTTCTGCAAGTGAGTGATCAGTGGTTTCTGATCTCGTCGTCCAGTAAGTTTCGCTTGATTGCGATGCATGAAAATGATGTCACCTTGCGGATCACGCTGAATCATCGATATGCCGCAGAAGAAATTCTCTTCTTCGTTGTATAATCCTCCCAGCGCGACAAGGTGCTGCACCATATAGAAAGGAGTGGACGTATTCAGCCACGCCAGACGGAACAGATCTTTGTCACCCCATACTAATTGCCAGTCTGTTATCAGTCGTGGCATGTGTGACGAGTAGAACATGAGTTTACTCAACGCCGCTTGTGCTCGCGAGCGGTTGACCAACAACTGCCCACTTTCTTGCTCGAACATATCCGTGAATGGCATGTCCAGTAGCGTCCATAACGCGCTTTGCTGTTGCACATTAAACGGCGTGTCAATAGCCGGTCGCCAGAAATCCGGCCAAAACATCGCGCCATGCTGGATAAACTCGGAAGACTCGAACAAATATGTCGGATCACGAACCGGGATATTATCCGAGTCGAGCCACAACACACTCTCGAATCTGGAATTGTATATTGCGTACGGTTTGGCGTGGAACTTGGAGGCGTTCGGGTCTCGGATGACTCGCACTAACACGTTGTAGTGCTTGACCAGTTCCACCAGTACCGAATGTTTCGCTCTCATCTCGGTCGGATCGATCCACACCTCGACGGGTAGAGCGCATCCTAGAGATCTGAGTGTCCTGACAATCGCATACAGTCCGGCCACCACCTTGGGATATGCGATCATGACGATGCCTCGCTTATCTGCAGCGTCATCTTCGTCTCGTCCTGGTTGTGGGGGTGGGAGCTCCGGTGGTGGATGAGTGTAGCTTGCAGCGTGGACGCTAAAGTCTGTGAAGTTCCGTGCATCATTGCACGAGAGTGTTGGTACCAGATACCATTGCCAGCTCTTGCACGTGGCCAACATGACGCGCAGGATCTCGCCACTCGTGCGGTTGCGCACCTCGCAGAAGCCACTGGTGCGTGGCATTGGCTCGCCACATTTGCGATCGCGGGATTCATCTCTAGGGCCGTACGGGTCGCAATTGTGTGTGGCCCGCCAGCCTAGACACTCGAAGTCGTCGTCCGTCCAGAGCGTCTGTGGACGATCAGAGCCCTGGAGGTCCACTTTGTTCAGCTGCGGTGCATCATACGTCCAAGCCTTGGGTTTGCCACCACCGGTCACTTCATATACGATGGCTGAGATGATGGAGCTGACCAAGAGGAAGAGCGCCAGCAACAGGTGCCGCCGCAAGAAGCGCGCCACCCACGCCTTCACAGGCATCGGACACCAAGAGCAGGAACTGCAGTTACAGGTACCGGCTTCGATGAAACCGGTAGATACCGATATAGACGCAGTTTTGAAACGCTCTTCAACTGCTCGGCTCCTCAACTGTAAATCCGGTCTGATCCCGAATCTGACTGTAGACAGAGATGCTCTTCATCTACAGACACGCTTTTCAACTGTGCGGCTCCTCAACTGTGACCTAATCAGATTTGATCTGATCCTGCTGATTAAATAAAAAAAGCTAGGAATCAGATTAAAACAAAAACCGGTTCTAAGTGATATAACCGGTTTGTTTGGGACGGAAGGCTCAGAGCCTCCCATTGAGTAGCTCACTTTGTCGATGCAGCACGCTTGGGGTCGCGTTCTGGTGCGCGCTGCGCGTAGCAGCCGTAGTGCTTTAACCAGTGCACGCGTTGCATCGCATCTCCGCTCTGCCGCGCCGTCGTCTCGCGCAGTGGCACGTTGCACTGGCGCCGTGCGCTTCGAGTCTACCGAGTCGACGCCTTCTCGTTTTTTGAGCTTGGCAGACGAGGAGAAGGCGAAGAACGAGAACGGAGATGAAGGCGAAGGAGAGGGAGGTGACAATTTCGACGCTCAGGACGAGGATTCCGAGGGACAGGACGGAGCCATCGAGGTGGACTCTATCCCGGACGTCAACAAGGGCGGCGTAGAGGAGAACGACGAGCTGGACGAGCTCGTGATGGAACTTTTTATGGAGAACCCACTGCGATGGAACTCAAAGACACTAGCACGCAAGTTCCACCTGTCCAAGCCTCGCGTAGAGGCCATTATCTGGATGAAGCGCATGGAAGCCGAGCTCACACCCGAGGAATTCCGTGCCAAGGTGCAGGAAGCCAAGAAAAAAGCTCAGAAGGAGATGGACGAACAGGCCAAGAAACTCGCGGATGCTGAGGCTTCTGGTAACGACAAGGAAGCCGCTCGTCTTAAGAAACGTGCACGACAGGAGCACGAGGCTACGCAGCCTGACCACGAGCTGGACGCTGAGGAGGAAGCCATGGTCATGGGTATTGACGACGAGGCCTTCCGGAACCCGGACTTTTTCTTCCTTAGCGACGAGTTCGAGGGCTACCCGCCTCTTGTGCGTCGTATGGGCAAGCACGGACACACGGATCAGCTGTACCCGGAGGAGGCGCTGGAGCTGCAGCGACTGGCTGGTAACAACAAGATTGAGTTGCACAAGAACTTTGCGAGCCCCGCAAACAGCGAGAGCAAGGCCAAATTCCGTCTGGCAGTCAAGGACATCACCACCAAGAAGAAACATCTGCTTGTACGCGACGAGAGCCGCTCGCTGCGTCTCGCCACGAACGACGAAGTGCTGCCCCGCACGTGGGTGCGTAGACCAGCCCACTTCCGCGGCCTGGCCAAGGAGCTCGCTTAATCAAGTGACACCCATCTCGGTGTATAGTATAGAGGCACGCATCGGAGGACGGGCTGGCTGGACTGCAATTAGGAAGCGTCGGAAGTTATGGCGAGGTTGCAATACAAGAGGATCGACATGCATTTTGACTGTCTATCAGTTATGTTGTTACGCTAAATGGCTTTCCCTACTTACGTACCGAAGTGTGTGACGCGGTATGTTAGAGTCATGAGGACCCATAACACTAACTTGCTTTGAGCAAGCGCTATCTGCGTCTCTAACACGAACGCTAACTGATCGTAATCCACACTGCCACATGATCCCTGTTAGCGCAACGAGCGAGACCAGGCACGTTCTGCATGTCCACTACGTTTGCAGTGGTGACCAGGGATGCCGAATATTGCATTTTTATCTACAAAGTATTGCTAATCAAAGCAGAAAATAAATAATTGGGTTAGGGAGTTGACTAGACCAAAATAGATTATTGAGCTTTCTCAGCTCAGAAAATAGATTATTGGTGCAGCAATATTGGTACACAGCGAGGGCACAAGTACTAAAGAATCCATGGCTAGTTGAACACCGCCCAATAGATTATTGGTGCTACAACGGGAGCGAAAATAAATAATGGGTCTTCCTCTCCTGAAAGCCTCCAATAGATAATTGGTGCTTTCTTATTGCAGTAATTGTGGCACCAATTTATTTTTCGGCATATTTCAGTCTAATATTGTGCGCTTGGAAGATGAACCATACCCAGATTGAAGACCCCCGTGGAGAATAGGAACAAACGCTTTCAAATATTCCGTAAGAATAAGACACTCCGCTGTGAAGAGCACTTCCAGAGATCCGTGGAGGATATCGACAGTGTTGGCTTCGGATTCGCCAGCTGTGGTCTTTGTACGCGGGACCTCATTGTCAGGCTGGACCACTATGGATGTGCGAGGACTCATGAATACTGACAACTTGTCAGTGACAAGCGTCGAGGTATTGAGGATGCTTTTGCAACGACGTGAATCATACTGCACGTTAATGGAATCGAGTTGTGTGTGGCCCTTGCCTTCTGCTTCTCTTCGATCTTGTTAAGCAGATCTTTGCCTTCAGACGATACATCGTGACAAATACAGGAGCAGACTTGATTACAGGCAGGGAGTCGTTGCAAATCGTTACATTCTGATCGAATTGTGGCGAGCAAACTCTTGGTATCTTGAATTCTGACAGAAACACCGAGACGTGTTTGGATCTCCCGAGTTCGTTCATACAGCTCAGCGAGGTCGACTGCTGTTTGTATGAAGTCGACGGTCATGATCACAATCAGAGTTGTAGTTGACGACGACGTTTGCATGCACATTGCCAAGTAAAAATCATCAAAGAAGTCAACGGTAAGGATCACTTGTTCGGGTATGGTATCTTCCATGTGATTAATCGTGAACGTGAAGATATTTTTCAAAACTAGTTTGAGGATAGGGAGCAGCATAAGCACAGGAATCTCGTAATTTGTATGAAATACGGAGTCAAGCAGGAGTAGATGCTGACCATGATCATTTGAACTAGTAGGAAATTGGCGCACTGTCGGAGCCTCTTTCTATGAGAAAGAATGTATTGAAAAATTTGTTTTCCAAGCATGAATCGGACCGTCACCACAAATATCAGAAACAGAACACTCGATAGTGTAAAATTGACGAAGAAAATAGGGAACATCCAGTGCGACGCAACCAACATCGCTGTGGCAGTATGACCCACGCCTACAATGATACCTAACAGCACAGATTGCTTTAACGAGAGCGACATACAATTCAACAGATTGCTTAGCTGAATTTAATGTTGTGCAGCCTTCTCCAAATCCTAATATCACCGTTCGAATCCAAAAGCCAAAATTAACATTCCAGCCTTCTGCAGGATCTTGCAGGAGGATGCTTTCTTGGCATAATACGAGGATAAGAGCGGGAAGTGGTGTTCCGATAACCACACACAGCACGCGAAGAAATGATACTTTGTGAGTATGCTCTTCAAGTGCCAACATCTGCTCGACGGAATACTTGCCTCCGTAATGTGTGATCTGAATTACAAACCATGCGCTATTGATATTCATCCCCAACACTTCCAGATGTTTGCTTAGACGTGTGCATCCACGATTTGTGGAAAGGCGGGTTCTCGAAGAGCGGAATCGCCAGGCCTGCTCGCATGTTGCGGCATTGTGGACGTCGTCCAGAAAAAAATCTTTTGCAGGCAGCAGAAATATATAACAAGTTTCAACATTGTCATCACAACCAGCTAGAAAGTAGCATGGATGCAGCCTTCATTCTTACTAAATTCTGCACTAAGTACTTGACGTAGACACTAACAAAAAAACGACGTGGTAAGGGAAAATGCCAATTAAGGGCCGTTCAAAGCAACCTTCTCTTGTTTTGACTGTATCTTTTGATCTAGTAAAAAGTAAAATATGGCCTTGGCACCAATCAAACGCTGACACAATTGTATATTGAATTGTTTTACATCAGCTATGGTGCGTTCAGTTACTGTTTTAATTTGTCCTTCTGAACTTCAGTAGGACAAATTAAAACAATGCTTTGATTTCACTATGGGTTGCTTGTTAATCTCTTATTATGATACCTTTAGTAGTGGCCAATGAAAATAGATAAGCCTAAAATTCCGAATTGCCTATTGGCTAACCCGAATCCGGCCCTTAACTGGCCACCGGCCCCTAATTGGCATTTTACCTTACTACGTCGAAATAGCGCCATGAACCACATAAACCTGAGCGAAAAATCGACCGCACACAAGAAAAAAAAGGGTTTTATGGGCATTTTTTATCAACTGGTTTCAGTAGAATAGATATGTAGAAGTCGTTCCAAAGTGTGTGACGCAGTAGGTCAGTGCTGTTAACACCCAAAGCACCAGCTTCGGCTGTATAAAATTCGCTTGCGTCTCGAGAACAAATGTTTTGATACAACGCATGGATACCACAATTTCGCCACATTATAAATACAAGTACGACAAATGATGCGGATTCCAATACTGCGTAGATAATCACATTTTAAATAGTACTTCCGACATTTTCTGCTGTGACTTCAAGTATTTTGGAGCGATAAAAACACTCGGAAGATGCACCATGACAAGCACAACATTTGCGTAAAGAACCGGCACGATAGTTTCGAGATAGTCAGTAAGAACAAGACACTCGTGTGTGAATAGAACTTCGTGAGCTTCGCGCAGAATATTCAGTTATCGTTAATGGCCTGGAGCATCGTGCAACGTTGGGATTGTCTGGCTTGAGGTCACTGGCCCCAACGCTCCCAGGCGCTGAAGGAATCTCCAGCTGAATACGAACAACCCGTTGCATTCCTCGTTTCCACTGAAAATTCGGTACTGAGATAATGATGATCTTCTCGTCGAGTCTTGGCTTGAATACTTGAACGAACTATCAAACGGTCCAAAACGCGGACGGCGATCCATTTTGTCAAGAATTTTCACTCCTTCTTGTGAAATTTGGTGGGAAATACATGATTGTACTCGAAAGCACGTGGGTTGCCTTTTTCTACGTGTCAAAACTGCATGATTCACACAATGCTCGAGCAACGGCTAGCAGATTTTGGTTGTTATTTTTCAACCCTAGCGCTCTGTTTAGTCGCTCCAACTCACCCTGCGTTCGCTGATAAAGCTCGTGCATTTCCAGAATAGTATGCACAAGATCTATTGCCATAATTGCTATCACCGCTGTAGCGGTTTTCATAGACATCGCGAGATAAAATACATCGAAGATATCGACAGTGAAGATGACTCGTTCAGAAATTGTGTTCCTCCTTGTGTAAAATGGTGAAAGTTGAAATATTTCTTAAAATGAGTTTTAGAATCGGGAGTAGCAACAGCTACCGGCAGTTCGTAACCTGTTTAGTTTACTGCGTCAAACAGAACTTGATAGTAAGGGTAGACAATAATCCATGAACATTTGCACCGTGAAAAACTTGGCCCATTGACGAAGTTGCTCCTTTTGCGAGAGAATTCGTCGTATTCTCTGCAACTACCGGTAGCACAGCGGCAGCTGTGTGGCAGATTCCCACACAAACACTGAGCAGTATAATTTGTCGTAGTGATAATTTGATGCTATCTAGGAGGAACGCAGCTTGGATTATCGTTGCACAGGCTTCACCTATTGCCAATGCGCCCATGCGGAGCCAAACCCATAGTTGGCACTCCAGCTATCAGACAGATCCTGGAGTGGGACTCTTTTCTGACATAACACCAATACGATATTATAGTGGGGAGCATAACCACAAGGGACAAAGACGTGTTTCGAGTGTATTTCTCGAGTGCAATAATCCGCTCAATCGAGTATTTACCTCCACAGTGAGTTATTTGCAATGAGACCTAGGCTTGGGATAGATTAGCCGTTCAGCTTTTGACCCGGGTGCGTACATTTCCCTCGACGCGTCGATACGAAGTCTGCACAATGTCCAAGCTGAACGGGAGTATTGATGTGAGCACCAAACACAAAGCTAAAAATAATGTTGCCTTGCTGCGTCTATTTCAAAACTCCAAATATTTGTACTGGATGTTTACGGCTTAGCTTGCATTTCTAAATGAAGATATGTAATCTGAGTCTGTCAGGTGAGTGAAGGTGAGTGAAGGAAAAAAAAAGAATTAGGATAAGTATTCATCTGTATTAGTATGTCGTGGTCTACCAGATAAATATGTGGGCCAAAAACAAAGTGCAGCGGCATGCACTTAAGTGGGTTGGAGGCAGACTTTAGCGAGTAATGTACGGGGCGATGGTCGAACTTAGCTTTATGCGAATATCCAGCTTTGCTGAATATCCGCGAGCATGGGAAGCGTAAACTGAGAGCAGGCGCTGCCTTCCTCGCGACGTTCGAGCTCGGAAAGCAACAGCGCGACCGAGTTGCGCTCAAATGCCGACGAGAAGAGCTCCACGTTCTCGTCATGACTCGACTCCTTCGCAAACTGCAGCAAGATGAACGCAGCGAAACGCGCGAGAGCTTCCGAGTCTGCAAGCATCCACTTGATCGCTTGGGCGAATCCGGAGCGGTTCGTTTCGAGGAAAAGTCGACGGTTGCCGCGATGCCGGCAGTGGTTTTTGACCGTCCTGGCCACCTCGTAGAGTGTGTCCACGTCCAGTTCAGCGTTCATTTCCTTGATAAGTTGCGCTGCCTCTGTGTCACGAATGGCATAGCGACGACCTTTGAGTTCCTGTGTGGCATCCAGCCACGGTTCAAGTGTCGACTCGGCGAAAAACAGCGGCTGGGCATCGACGTCGCTGCAGCGAGCGCGAATGCACTCGACGAGTTGGTGGAAGGCCATTTCATCGCCAAATTCACGACGGAACGCCACCTCGTACTTGTCTTGTGTGCCCTGTTCCTTGGAGAGCGATATGAAGAACGCAATCTCCTCCGCGACACAGAGCCATGATACACGGAGTGTCCACTGGTTCTCGACGCGTACAGAGCAGTCGAACGGCTGCAATGCGTTCTGTAGTGTTGACATAATTTTCTCGGGGTCTGAATAGGACGGAAAACTCGGGAAAGCGGAGCCGAAGAACGAATCCCATCCTTCCTTGATTGGAACCTCCACGGCCGCAGAGGGGGACAAGGGGGACGCAGCAAGCTGTTTTTGCTTGGAGAACGGAGTCAAGTCAAGCTCCATTGACGACTGCTGCTTGCCAGAGTAGAGGCTGAAGCTGTCGAGCTCCTCGAATTGGTTCAAACATGCGGTAGTGAACTGGAATGGGGCGTCGCGGTACTGCGTCGTTGTGGACGACACGTCGCCAGCGACGTAGATTGGGGCGTCGCCTGTTGGCGGAGCGAATTGGAGATGCAACTGTTCGTCGAAGTCGTCAAAGTCGCTCTGTACCTGGAAGATAGGAGTTGTCGTAGTAGGAATGCTACCAGTGTCGTCGCTAGTGGAAGACGCGGTCGCACTGTTCATATTGTTGAAGTGTTCAGTAGTTTGGCAATTTTGTTGTGAGGCGTTTACTTGCAGAGACTTTGCCCTCTTGGGAAAATTCGCACTCAAGTGTGTTACTATTGGTCAAAACTCGAAAAGATTGAGTGATGGTCATTCTTATCTGATTTTCGACCAATCGCAATGATTTTATGTTCTACATGTACAAAGCATGCGACCTGTGATGTTCCGTTCGATCGTAGATTCTATTTCGACAGAGGAGTAGGCCCTGGATTCGACGACGGACTTAGTGAGGCACACAGCGTACGCGTGCGCGCTCACCTGACATCAAGGGGTGCAAAATCGATGGCGACATAGGTGTCCCGCACGCCGCGTCCATTCACCCGCGTGATCTTTTTTACCAATGTGAACGACACAAATGTCTGCAAAATCCATTTTGCATTCAGCAAGTGCAGTTTTTGCTTATGAAAAAAAAGAAATTGATTTTTTCATCAGAATACAGATTCAAGATAGCTTACGTCACGCACAAATACTTTTGCTGCAGTGTCTCGAGCTCGCCGTCATCGCACGGCATGGCTCTAGCCACGAACAGTAACTGAGACCTATTAGATTTTTTTTTCAGCGCAGCCACACCACCACGACGGACACATTGTCCGACGTACCGCGGAAAAGTGCCTCCTGCACCAGATAATTGGCGATTTGCACCTTCCGTCGCCTACGAGCCGCCTTGATCATCGATCGATCACTGGTATACTGCTGTGACCACTCGAAAATAGGCACACGGGTGTCACTATGGCCACCGCTGCTCCAGGCCTCGCGTCCGCCCAGTTCGCCGCTCATAACATCTTGCACAAACTCCACCACTTCGCTGCTGGTAAACACATCCCAAAGCCCGTCCGACGCGAGCACAATGAACTCGTCTTTATCGTACTCAATGTCATACTGTCGGATCTCGGCCTCGCCGATCACAAATGGCCGCGAATCTCGGTCTCCAATAGCTCGTGCCACTGCCAGGTTGCCATTGACCCGGTACGCTCCGTACGGTTCGATGGGCTCGCCTTGCGCATCCACATAGCCATACCACTGCACACGACCACCCAATGACTCGATCCTGGCACGTTCTTGTGGGTCGTTCGGCTTGTGATCTCGAGTAAGATCGACAGTATTCCCTCCTCGACACAACACTGCGCGACTGTCTCCCACATTCAGAGAGTACAGTACATCTTCGAATAAAAGAACTCCAACTGCCGTTGAGCCTTGAAATTTCCACTCGTTCTTGGCAATAACCTCCTGATCCAGCTTTTGCACTGTGTCTCGTAGCAAATCTGCAACTTTCTGACGTCGACTCGACTTTGCCGCCACATTGTTCTCTTCTTTATTCTCAGCTAGAATCTGTAGATCCAGTTGAGCTAATTCCGGTGAAATCATAGAGAAGAGTTGGTTGCGAAGAAATTGCGACACAGCGGCGCCTCCGTGGCCGTCGTATACCGCAGCAAACCGCTTGCAAGAAGAGACATACGACGTGTCTTCCATGTACGCGCGGTCTCCTCGCACGGCGGCTGTGCTCACTACCATCTTGCCGTCTCGTACGCTGGTCTTCCTCTTCCGTAAAGTACGTTTCTTTGTCTCATTCTGCTTGACGGCAGCTTTGACCTCCTCCTTTTGCTCATTGATGAGCTTGGCGATCTCCTTCGGATCCTCCTTCTCCTCCGCCGGCTCTTTCGCGTCCGCAGCCTTCTCTGACGCCACGAATGCCATGGCTGCCGCAGCCAACGCTAGTCCGGCCCACAAACGACTCCTTCCGTCAAATTCTGAAGCTGGAAACTCAGAATTCTGACCAGTCGTTGACGAGAACGGAGACGTCGAGAGGGCTGCGCGCTGTGCGCCGACGGACTGCAGCCACGACGGCGAGGCCGTCAGTGCCACTGAGGACGAGCGTGACGGTCGCGAAGGTCGCGCGGCGGCCAGGGCGCGGCCTCGGGCTCGCAACACGGTCTGCATGGGCCACCACCGGGAAAATCTGCGAGTGTTCCGGCGCCTGAGAATTTGGACGAGTGAGGATGGGGTGAAAAGGTATTTTTAACTTCAACCTACCCCATAACTTTCCCATCTGGCCACTGAAAACCTATGTAACAGCATGTTTCTGGCCAATCATGTGAAGAGAGGTAATATTTGTGAGTGAGTAAAAAAAACACGCGCCACTTGCTGCTTCTGTGCCGGGTCAATTTGCCTCTACGGTTGCACTGTGGGTTATATCTACCTATCGTCGCTAGCTCTCCTTGGACTCCATGGGTTTCCAGCGACTGGGCAATCGCTCCCTTGCCGGTCGACCTTTACACCACACGAACGCGATGATGGCCATCACATAAGTTAGCAGGAACAGTGCCACAATGTACTGTACTCGCATAGAGCTAAAGCCAAGATCGTTGGCCAATGCATCGTCGATCAGCAGTTGCCGTGCCTCGACAGAAAACTGGATCGCCAGGTCCTCAATCGACGCGTAGATAGTCGAGTCAATAGGCGTAACCTGCGTCGCTGGTCGGCCGTCCGGCAAAGAGTCTGTGCCGATATAATAGCAGCACTCCTTGTGTGCATACACAGCCTGGAAGATGCGGTAGTCTCGCGGGTTGCCCTCCAGAGAATACTCCTGGATATGGCTCATAATACGTGGCTGATCCGGCTTGCCATCCAGCTTAATAGAATTCCGATGGAAGAAGACGAGGTTGCCTTGCACGTCGTGTTGGATCATAGCCAAGCCACAGAAAACACCCTTCTCCTTGTGCAAGTCCAGCCCACCTACTGCAGGTGGGTATTTAATGAAGTGGAACGGCTGACTAGCATTGAGCCATGCTAGTCGGAATAGGTCCTTGTCTCCCCAGATAAGGTGCAATTGCTCCAGTAAGCGAGGCTGGTGTGTCGAGTAGTACATGAGTTTGTCCAACGCGCGCTTGCTACGCAGTCGATCGATCAGCACTTGGCCACTCTCCTGTTCGAACATGTCGACGTAGTTCACGCCCGTAAGTTGCCATAGTAAACTTGTGTTTGACAACTGGAAAAGCGAGTTAGATGGTTGCCAATAGTCAGGCCAGAAAATAGCGCCCGTGCGGAGGAACTCTGGCTCTTCGAACAGATAAGTTGGGTCTTTCGCGGGCAAATTATCGGCATCCAGCAGCAATACGTTGTCGAAATTGCTGTAATAAACTGCGTACGGCTTGACGTGGAAGCCCATAGCTCGACGGTCGAAGATTGGTCGCATCCGTACATTGTAGTCCGACAGAAGCTTGTGAATAATCGGATTGTCGATCGACATTTCATCAGGTCGATACCACAACTCCACTGGCAATTCGCAGCCTTGTACACGCAGCATCCGAATGGTAGCGTACGCAGATGGCAACACACGGTCGTAAATGATCATCAAGACGCCATTCGTAGGCTGACGCTTGCTAGTGGCTGCATACGGCAACGCCAGCGATGGCGCCACAGGCTTGTGCTCGTATTTAACCGAATGGTAGCCAAATTCGGAGAAATCACGGGCCATATCGCACGTGTAATAGCCTGTCGGTAACGAGTCACACCCGCTGACCATGAGCTTGTACAGGTCTCCAGACGTGCGGTTCCGCACGATGCAATAGCCTGCCATTTGTGTGCCTATTTCCTCCGAGCATCCAAGAAAGTCCTTTTCCGGCTCTGGTGTCTCCTTCGCTTCGTCCTCAAGCTTCTCTTCCTTGCACGTGTGAATACGTTTCCAGCCCACACACTCGAAGCTTGCGTTCGTCCACGGTGCAATCACAGGTGTGGGCGCCATGTGAATGCCGTCGTCTTTAGTCTCGGTGATCATGTGGTTAATAAACACATCGCGCGGCTTCCCCACTACAGGGTCTTTTCGTGTGGAGCGTAGACCCATGTAGAAGCTAACAAACACTAGCAGGTACCATTTCTTGTGCTTGACACGCTGCAGTAGCGCCCACAGCGAATACAGCATCACCACGAGGCGTTGTAGCAGCATCACGACCTGACAAGCTACTCAAATAGATAGTGAAACAGTAGCACGAAGACGCAGTCAGTCACACGAGGAGCGTCACTAGAGAGGAAGTCCTACAATAGGCTGAACGTTTCACTATGCCTTTACCAGTACGAATGACTGTACCATTCTTGTGGTACCATCACAATTTGCCCACTACAACGTGACGACCATCTACAGTAGTGGAATGTAGCCATCTCTGAAATTGTTATTTACACTGCAACGACCTGTACGAACACCTCGTTCTCGATAGCGAGGTTGAGCTCAAGTGTCTGCTAGGTCAGTTATATAAGAGCGTTGGCGCTACAAGTCGTTCACTGCCGCTTGCGGAGTGCTGGCTCACCAGAGACGACAAATCTCTCCGAGATAGCCGAAGCTGCAGCGCCGAAGGCCTCTTCCTTCTTGGACACACGCGCGTGGGCACGAGCGCTCGCGTTGGAAACGGTACGACGCATAGCCCGTGGTTGATCGTTCATACTGAGACCTCCACTTAATCCAGCACCAGGCAGGCGAGCGTTCAGATCCGCCTGCGCCATGGAGCTCCTAAGTCGGTGTTGATGCACGAAAGAGCGGATAGATTGGCGAATAGCGAAGATGAAGTGCGTGAACCACATGAATGGTACAGTCCACTGGACAAAGAGGTACACCACAAATGCCAGTAGCAAGTACTTGTTTGGGATCACGATGTGCAGTATACAGCTCACGATGAGGTAGAGCAGTATACGTGCCGTGTAGAACGTATCTTCCCATGAGAACATGAGCTCGAGGTTGTTGATGATGCTCGACCACCAGGCCATATTGTTCTGCACGGACTGCAGCGTTCTCTTGGTCTCTTGATCGATAGTAACGTGCGTCATCTTGTTCATCAGGTGGTTAAATCCCGACGGCAAATTGTACTGTCGGAAGGATCCATTGCTCATGTCGTTGTCCAGATTCGGGTGTTCTTTGCCATCATTCGACGATGCGAACGAGTGGAAGTTCAGCTCGAAGTAATTGCGCAATACAAACGCAATAAGCGCAAGATGGATGACCACTGGTAGCCATTGTAGCGACAGACACAGCCACACACAGAGCGCAAAGCACATGAACGAGTGCGTCGGATGCTCCCAGTTGAGCGTCGGTAAAACCTGCCAAATCACCTCCAAATACGGCCAGAGGTTGTCCAGTAGCACCCAAAAGTTGCTGTACAGTTGTGCTGCTTGGAAATCTGGCCATTCGTACACGTAATCTTGTTCGGCGGAGAAGTAGCTGCAGAATTCAGCCATCCGTGAGAATTTATAGTGCAGCAGGACGTGGATGCGACCTGCTCTAGCGTCGTTATTGAGGCCTGCACGGTGGAGTTTCTCCGGCATTAACAGATCCAGCCACTTGTTATGTCGTCGCTGGTCCATAATCTGCGAGAGCGGGATCGTAGCTTCGCCCAGCTTCGTGGGTTGACTCAACTGACCATGGTTGTACACCTCCAGTAACAGCTCAGCTCCTGGTGCACACACATTGAACACAAATGTTTCGTGCCAACGTGGGTTGAGTGTGCGGGACTTTTTCTTGGTGCATTTAGTGTTCTTCAAGTCGTTGCCCCACTCCTGGCCGTGTGACCACTTGCCCGTCAGCATCACTCTGACGAACGGATCGTTCGTAATGGAGTCGGTTGATGGCAGTCCAATAGCCTCAACCACCTTCACGTACAGCTGTCCGATATGCACGCGGCCTTCAATCACGGGGTCAGGTTTGCTTTGGATCTAATCAACCACAGCATCAGCGCTAGAAGATAGTATTGGCCAGTACATTCGCTTACCTCTGAAGAAGAATGACCTGACCACTCCAAGGATGCAAAGTGCTCGTCAACCGCAGCGTAGCAAGTGTTGCATACCCGCATAGGCTAGCAAGATACACAAAATGTCAGAAGAAAGAACAGTAGACCACTCTATTGCTCTCTAAACCTACGAAAGGGTCCGTGGACGAGATACGACGCTTGTGCGGCGAGCAGTTCTGACATACGACGTTGCCGCAGCGTCGACAGTGGTGCTGTAGATACATAATAGTTAGTGTAGGCTGTGTAATATCCCCGTGGACGTCTGTACCTTGCGCGTGATCATCGTAAAGGGCGTGTTGCAGTGCATACAGTTACTGGTCTCATCATCGTAGACCCACTGCAGCGAACGTTCACTGTTGCCACCCGCAGTACTCACGAGCGCCGTGCTGCGGCCTTGGTTGCGCACCGCCGCCGACGGAAGGCCGCCGAACAGCGAAGCCATGCTGATTCTGACTTGTGATGAAGAGAGGCTTCATCTATGACATGATTGGTCAAAACAAATAGTAATTTAGCCAATAAGGATACGTCGTACGAACACACTGTCCACAGAACACGTCACTCGCCAAGTTGACGTCTGGAACACCGGCACAGTCTTGACAGCACCAACATGGCGTCTCTACGGCAGCGTAAGACCGCGTCGAACTCGCCATCGTCTACAACAGGAAGTGTATCGTCCTCTGCATCAGAAGAGCCTTCTACGACGTCTGTAGAGACCGTGGGGCCCAAGAACGACGAGGATGAAGCTAGCGACTGGCCCTCCATCATGTTACTGCTGCTGTTGTACACACTGCAAGGCATCCCCATGGGTCTTTCGAGCAGTATTCCATTCATTCTTCAAGAAAAGGTTGGCTACGGTGACCAGGCCACTTTCAGTCTCGTATCGTGGCCCTTTAGCCTCAAATTACTATGGGCTCCATTCGTGGACTCGCTCTACAGCGAACGCTTCGGTCGCCGCAAGTCATGGCTCATCCCCGTGCAGTTTACCTGTGCAGCACTTATGGTGGTGGGCAGCTGGTTCATGAGCGACTTACTGGGCGAAGGCGAGGGTCAGAAGCCACACGTCGTCTACCTCACCGTCTTCTTCTTCGTGCTGTACTTCATGATGGCTACACAAGACATCGCCGTGGACGGATGGGCAATTACCATGCTTTCAGAGAAGAATGTCGGTCATGCATCCACATGCAACACGGTAGGCCAGACTGTCGGCTACTTTGTAGCGTACGTGGGCTTCCTGGCTCTCAACGACCCGTCCACGTGCAACAGCTACCTACGTAGCGAACCAGAGGACGAAGGACTCGTGTCATTGCCCGGTTTTATGAGTTTCTGGGGCTGGGTCATGTTCTTCACCACTCTAGGCGTGTGGCTCTTCAAGCACGAGAAGCCTGAGGATGAGAACAGTGAGCGCCTGACAATTGCTCAAACTTACTCGCAGATGTACTCGGTGATGCGTCTCCCCAGTGTTATCTCTCTGTCTATTATGCTACTGACGAGCAAAATCGGATTCGCTGCTGCGGAGAGCGTCGCGTCACTTAAACTTGTGGAATACGGCATGAAGAAGGAGAAATTGGCTCTATTAACACCGATTTTGATCCCCTTGGGTATCGTCATTCCCGTAATGATCGGTCGATGGATCAAGCCATCGCAACCGCTTAAGCTCTTTCTCTGGGGTTACCCAGTTCGACTTGCTGTGGGACTTTTGTATGCGGGGCTTGTGTACATCACCCCCATGGCCATGGCACAGGACGAGAGTTCCCACTTCGTTTTCTACGCTGTCATCCTAGCCATCGGTGCGCTACACGAGGTTGCTGCCAACATGATGTACGTCCCGCAGATGGCTTTCTACGCTCGTATCAGCGATCCGTCCATCGGTGGCACGTACATGACTTTCCTCAATACGGTCACAAATCTGGGCTCCAAGTGGCCCAATTCTCTCAGTCTGGCGGCTGTGGATCGTCTCACAACACGCGAGTGTCTGGGTGGCTACTTCCACGACGAAATACTGGACATTGGATCCGTCACGTGCTCGGACGCTGAGGCACGTAAAGCTTGCACTGACGCTGGAGGCGAATGCCTCGTCATTCGCGATGGTTTCTACGTGGAGTCAGTTATCTGCTTGGTGATTGGTGTGCTCTGGCTCCTCTTCTTCTTCCGTCGGATCCAATTCCTACAGAACCTCAAGATCGACAAATGGCGTGTGAATGCCACGGCCGATTAAAAACGACTTTTGCTGCATACAGAAACCGCAATAGATTTTTTTGTTCGGAAACACGTTTTGTCATATTATTACGAAGGCGACCGGGATACTTTAGGAAATGACGGCCACGCATAAAACACTACCGTCGTCCTACTCTTCCTACGTCATCGTGGCTGAGAGACGACGTTGCACGAACTCAAATTGTGACGACTGCACTAGCGAGGGCCGGAACACTTCACGAGGTGCAAAATCTAGACGCGGTTTCTTCTTCTTGTTGCAGTCGCGGTATGCAGACTCAAGGTTCAGCTCAAACATCTTGATCACTTTAGCCATATCTTCGTCATCGTCGTCTTCGAATTGCGACTCCTTGAACACAGCACTCGGGTTCTGTCGAGCTAACCGGACTTTTTCCTCCATTGTCTGAGGCTTGTTCTTCCCTTTTCGAGAGCTCGTCGTCTTGGCTGGTTTTGGATCCGGTTCTTCTTTCTCGTCGCTGCTGCTCGACTCTTGGTTGTGTAAAGTATTCTTCTGAATCGTAGCTGATGGTTTTGTCTCGACTTGGTCACTGGAGTCGCGAGAAGTGGGCGGCGTTTTCTTCTTTTTGCGTTTTTTACGCTTCTTTTTACTAGAGGAAACGCTGCTGTTATTGGAATCGCCTGGATCCGACGAGTTCTCTCCGTGTAAATGGCAATTCTTCTTGGCTTGTTGTTGCTGGATATTCGATGTCGCGTTCGGATTGTTGCCGCTGCCATTGATGAAAGTAACTAGCTCATCGACACTTGGCTGGTCGAACTCCACGAGTTCATACTCCTCTGTAGAGAGATCGTGATCCAGAGTATTAAACATGTCAAAGTCGAAGCCAGCCATATCACTTCGCAGCTCACAACTGCATTCGACGTCAGGTGGGTCTTCTAGCCCAAATTTCTTCCGCAGTTCATCCGCTTCCGATGTCGCGGACATGATCTGTGCAATGGATCGGCAGGTTAAGTCCACGAGCGGTTGAATATCCAGATTTGACGCCACCTTCGCCAGATCGCACAGCTCCTTTGACTCGAGACTGACAAACTCGTCTTCCCAGTCTAACATTGCAGTCTCTACTAGGTCCACCTGCTGTTTGTACAGACAACTACAGGCCACTATTAGATCTACACTAACTCACACATCACTACCGATAACCGCCATACCTGCAGTAGTCCAATGCGCACTGTACACTGTCTGTAGGCACGTCAAAGATGGGAATGACGTGCTGTTTGACGCCGTTCTTGGACTTCTTCCCGGACACATCTGTAAGTACACGCATTGTATCGAACGTCAGTAATTCTGTAGGTCCATCGGTTGGTATTTCATAGCGCATGCTCACCTTGCATCAACACCCAGAGCGTGGATGACATCATCGCCTGTTCGTATGTCACGTCAAACGTCGTGCCGTCCCTGCATTTGAGCTGCAGCTTCGAGTGGCGCGTCGTGTGTGTGTCACTCTGCAAAGGCTTCGCTTCTCCCTCGTCTACAGCAGCTGCAGCGGCCGGGAGCTTCCGCTTGCTGCGCTTCTCATCGCCGACGTTCACCCTCATGGGAACGACCTTAGGTTTGTGCAGAAAGCGCCGTATCTCGACGACCGGAGCAACTCCGCCGCTAATTCTTTCGCTACAGGGTAGATCTGTGTCTACTGTGTATGGTGTCGCTAGTAAGCAGGTCCTGAAGCTACTCTAAGCGCGAATAGAGACTGATTTGCGTTGTTGTCGTCCTGCCGGCGCTTTGTGGTATGCCGACTGCGCTTTTCTGCTGAGTGTCTCCTCCCTTTACTATTTTTTCGGAAGAAAAACAATGGAAGCACTCAAATTTTGTACCATGGGTACAGCCAGCAATAATGAGTGCAAGCTAAATGATTCAGCTCAGGAAAAAAGAACTATCAAATGCATAAATTATGATCCGAAAAACTAGATGCGCCGGAATGCTGTTCCTCGATTGGCTACAAAGCTCGGGCGGGATAGGTGAGTGAGCGCTGAAAATCCGATCTGCCAAATGGATTCACGATGCGGGACGTTGTTGCGATGTTGCTCATTGCCTTGCAAACGGCCATCACGCTGCGTAGCTGTTACGAGGGTACATGCAAAGCTCTACAAGGAGGCTGCCACAAGCTGATTGACCAGGTCGATAGTATTTCAGCAAGTTTCGGTGCTAAAACGTCGTTGAAGTAGTGAAGAAACAACATGCTCTGTTTGATTCAGACTATGAACGCATCAAAATGCTGCACTTCGCACCACGTCGATTAGATCTACATAGACTTCCACATGTTGAACCATGCATTTTCTAGCAGTTGATGAGGCTACTATAGCTGAAGGGGCCTCGATCAAAGTCGTACTCGCATTGGATGGTGACGCGTCGAAGTGGTCATCGACGTGGTGGAGACTTCGCCGGCCACATTGCCATCCTTTGTAGTGTTCTCTTACGTCTGGATCTAGTCGGACTGGGAACTGGTGGACGAACTCTCGGAGGGCTCGTCATTGCCCTGCGAACATTAATGCATGTACGTGGACTCAGCGCTGTAAGTGTAGACTGAGCCAAACATCTAATAGTCGGTAAATTCATCCAGGCCGTCATTACATCCGAAACAGTCTCCTGACTGGCATCGACATTCTCACCGACAGTGATCCGGCCTCGGCTGTGCGTTCCCCCCCTGCCATTCACGAGCTCCAGCATCTTAGCCTGACACCCGTCAGTCTGTGTGTATGCTTGTAAGCTGCGCGAAAAGTAGCGTAGCTTGCTCGTGCTGGCCAGTACAGTGGCGACAACAAGCAGAAAGATGATAGAAGAGCGAATGGAAGCGTCCATTTTTTAGCTGACACGTTTCAACGCGGCAAGCTGAAGAATGAACAAGAAAGAGCAATCTTGGCCGGTTGAGTCTCAACTTGAGAAGGGGTCATCGATCAGGAGGAGGCATGAGGTACAAGCTGGCAATGCCCTTCGCCTTCCGCCGTTAATTGCCACGCTGGCCACGAAATTGCGTCCTGCCCTGAAAGAAAACGCTGGCCACGAAAATGCAGTAAAAGAACACACGAGCACTCCTGTCCGAGCCGCGAAGAGGATGTCGACCAACTGTGCTGTCAAAGCAGTTGGACTCCAGCCTGAGCGCACTCTTACCAAGGTTGAGAGTGCCTCGGCACGAAAGGATTCGTACGTGCTGTTGTCCGAGACCAACGCGTTATTGCCAAGAACTTATTGGCTACAAAGGTTGAAGTCGCATGAAAAGCGAAGTGATTTGCTAGATATCACCACGAAAACATTTGGAAAATAGTAAAAGTCTATTGCACACACGCTACGAACTACGATAATACTCACGCACGAGTAGCTATGAGGCTGCCTACCACAGTTTACTCTGCTTCACGCAAATACAGGGTGGACACTATTGGTCTTGCCCCTTTAAACACTGAAACAATCACTCTGCTCACTTCTTGGCCTTGCAACCGGGAACCTCTGTGGCAGGAGGCTCAGTGTATGGAGTTTCGGTAGCTGGAGACTCGGTTACGGGGGCTTCGGTGGATGGGGCCTCCGTTACTGGAGCCTCGGTGGATGGAGACTGGGTGGATGGAGCTTCCGGGGCAGTAGTGGCAGGCGGGGCCGTCGTTGTCGGGGCCGTGGTGGTGTAGTCCTGCGTTGTGGACGCCTCACCTGCCACGTCATCCTGCTGGGTTTGCTGTTGGGTCTGATCGGTCGACTGCGAGGAGGTCGAGCTGCCGCTATCGCACGCCTCCGTATCGCCAGCACCAAAGTCCTGCGTCCAGTAGTGTTTGTACGTGCTGCCGGCATTGTAGGCATAAGCCGTGCCGAACATAGTGTAGTCGGCACCTAGAATGTTAGCGCGGTGGCCCTCAGAGTTCATCCAAGACTCCATTACAGAGGCAACATCCTCCTGACCGGCAGCGACGTTCTCGGCTACCGCAGTCCACGCGTACCCAGCATCTGTGATACGTTCCGACATGGTAGACCCGTCCGAGCCGTCGTGCTCCATAAAGTCGTGATCGGCCATGTCTTTCGAGTGACGGGCTGCTGCGGCCGCTATCTTCTTGTTCGTGCACAGAGCGGAAAGACCCGCTTTGGATCGCTCAGCGTTCACCGCGTCGAGCATCTGCTGAAAGTAGCCATCGTAGCTCGAGTACGACTGCAGATTGCGCGGGGTAGTGCGCAAGTTACTGAAAGCAGTGGAGAAGTCTGAAGAGATAGCTGAGACCACAGCCAAAAGGGCAAGTGAAGAATGGGTGATGGTCATCATGGTCGACGTCGGATGGGCGCTTGTTTCGATTGATGTTGCTCCGAATCGGCAAAGCGAAAAGTGAGCACGTGCTTGTTGACCATACAGCTAGCGGAGCGAACAGCAAGCACACGGGAGATAAGACGACAGGCAGAAGGGGTGCCCCGTAAGCGAGCGAGTATCTGCCTGCTGATACGGTACGAGTCTGGCGCGGTAGTAGCGACAAATGGAGTATCCATCTGACCAACACGGTGTTGAACACCCGGTGGCGAATGGTGCTTGCAAAGCAGCTGTGGTGTGTCTGTGTGCGACTAAAGTTGAGCCTTGCCACCTTCGTTGTGAGCTCTAATAAGCAGCGGTGGGATGAATGCAAGACGTAGACTGGGGCTATCCTGTGCCACACAGACGCGTTGTACGACGTACTGAAGTGGTACTTGCTCATTCCGCGTGACGAGCGGCCTCTTGCCAAGCGTCAAAAGCATCACCCGGTTGAAAAGCAATCTTTCTTAGCCCGATAGTGAGCATATTTGTAAGGAGTTTTCAAGGGGGAGGGGGGGAGCTCTTAAAAAAAACTCTATTAATAGTCTTGGTGAGCGGGTGTCAATACGACGATTCCTGCGATCATCGTGTAAAGCAATGCCCGCCGTTGTGAAGGAAGATCGCGTCAGCTTTTAATCCGTGGTCCTAGATGGCTCTAGTGCTGCTGCAAAAGCAGTTGGGTCACCCTTAATGGACTCGCATAAAAGGATGATCATCTTCGCGTCCCGCAGCTTTGACTTACTACAAAACAGTTTTTCGAAGACAGCAGGGTCAGCATCTGTAGACCACGTACGGGTGTTCACTGTTCACTTAACCATTGAAGCGCATGATGCGTTCGGCTCCAGCTGGAACACCACGTAGGCTGCTGAAGGAGAATGATACAGGTAAAAGCGATGAGTCTGTCCGTGACGTAAAGGGTGTCCTTGTCAAATTCAGACTCGGTGCCTGCTCGAATAGTAATTGTTTCTGGCTAGCCATGCGCCTACGCAGTCGTCCACAAACTGTGGCTACAGTCTGTGGCGCGGCAGCATTCCACGAACCCGGCAGTGAAGTTGCTAGCGCAGGTGACACATCCTTTCTACAGCTAAAGCGCTGCATTTACACTTCGCGCCGCGGACAGTTGCTCTTTTTTCTATTTTGGACCGGACTTAAATACATTACCGGTAAAAGTATTCAAGTCCGGTTCTTTTTTAATGAGCCGATATCGGGCAAACTGTCGCTTTTTGCGTCAAGCTTCCGGCTATCGAGATTGACAAATATATTTTCGCACCTAACCGGGAATGTGATATTTGGTGAAAACCTCCATTAAACAATGTAATTTATTATTTCATTATAGCAAAAATTAAAAATACTGACTCACAATACTCCACCCAAAATATATCGTCATTTTGAGGGCCCGAAAATGGAGATAATATCTTTGGGCGACCATAATCTCTTCATTTTTAAATATTCCGTAGCTTTCAAGTGCTCGACGAGATTCGTTTTATAGTGCTTAAGTCGCGATTTATACTTAGGTTCGTAAGCATCCTTTTGTTTGACGCCGAAATTTTCGTCTAGATGGGCGAAATAACTTGTAAAACTAAATTATTTATTTGTACAGTATTTTGCCTCAATAAGACAAGCTCAGATATTCATTTAATTTTCATGGTATTGTCGTAATAGAGGTTTAAAGTGCATTCTGTTTTGAAAACTGAAGATACAGTGTCAAAGGATATTAGTTTTTATAGCTTTGCTATTACGGCAAAATACTGCACCGAGTTTCAAGATTGACGGTCATAGCCATGTTGTACGGCGGTTTCAAAAAAACATGTATCATTCAGTATCACGTAGCGCTATTATTCACAGACATCATGCCACGTTGCATGTCTGGCAGAGACTTGAGTGGCAATCGCTCTTGAAAACTCGACCTGGCATTTCCCATTCTGCAGCTGTGATATAATAGCAGCCTGGTAACGGTTTGAGTACAGTGAACAACAGACTTAACGTGAGTGTCTGAATTGTTTTCCTTATTCCTGGCAGCGATGGCCACTCAGCTATTTATTTCGTGAATGGAGGATGATCTAGTCGCCTAGTGGTAGACGCCACCAAGCTGAACCGAACCGGACAGAGTGTCTCCGTCTACATGTAGTTAAAAACACCAGCTACAGAGTTCTTTATCATGCGACTCACGATGTAGATATTGGTGCTCCAGTCGAATCATTCTCCTTTTTGCCCTCCGAGAGTCAAGTTTAACATCTTCGACATTTTTATCAAATTGCACCTGTAACCATGTCGAGCCCCGTGCAGCACTGCCAATACTCAAAATCGACCTTCCTGCTCTGTGCACTCCTCATTGCTTTGATTTGCAATACGGCCACGGCTATCGATGATGATGTTGCTCCGGAGCACAACGCCACTAATGTCACTGTGCGAGACCTGCAAACCCAAAGCGGATTCCAGGCGCTCCTGTTAGCTGCGGTGAACAAAGAGCGCGCGGCGGTCGGTCTTCCATCGCTCTGTATGAACACCAAGTTGCAGTCCGCAGCTCAAAAGCACTCGAAAGATATGGCCGCGAACAATTATATGAGCCACACAGGTTCGAGTGGGTCCTCAATGTCGCAGCGTATCACGGCCTCGGGATTCAAGTGGACGGCCGTCGCGGAGAATGTTGCAGCCGGTCAAATGGATGCGGCCGCTGTAATGAAGGCGTGGATGAACTCGCCTGGTCACAGGAAGAACATCCTGGGCAGCAAGTACAAGATGCTCGGCTGCGGCTACGCGTACAATGCGAATGCCGTTTACAAGCGCTATTGGGCGCAGGAGTTTGGCACGGGCAGCTCGGAATCGTGTTCGTAAATAGAGACTTGACTTTCGTAGATGATAAAAAGCTAGACCTGCATGTTGTCGATGTAAATAGAGTACGCATGTACAAAACCAGAAAATCAAGTTAAGCGTTTGTGGCGACAAGTAAGCCTTGTTTATAAAACAAGTAGGACATGCAATAGCTGCTTCTGTATGGTAAAAAAAAGATTAAGACACTGTCGATGCAAATCATTCTCGAGTCGATAATCTTGACAGAAGAAAAAAACGTGGCAATCTTGACATAAAGCGCTTCATCATGAAATGGCTCACTTTTGCGAATAGGTGGCAAGTTGTAGCTTGAATTACTGCGAAGAATCCATCTTTGCTGTGTAAATGATATCTGGATATCACTTTTATTCAAGTTGCAGGGGATAAAGAGGTGTGGCGACCTTGCCACTAGCGCGGCCAGTGTAGCGCGGCCAGTGGCAGATTCGTCACTCTGCAATTTACTCGTTGAGTCTTAAATCTGGCCAACCCGAGGTGATCGTATCATGAACTTTTTCAAATCCGTGCCCTGCTTCTCGTTCTCATTGTCGGACAACTCGACACCTCGACTGCCCAAGATGCCGCCACTCAGATCGCCCAGATTGGGACGGACGCATTGAGCAGAGCTGAAGCCACGGCATCCATCGCGAGCTCTGTCGGTGCCGCCCTCGCCCGGATTAATCCTGCAGGTGACCCGCTTCAAGATACCGTCGCACGACTTGTTGAGCTTGCCAATGTCAACGCTGCTGCCAACGCTGAGCTCAACGCCAAGCTGCAAGCTCTACTGGATTCGATTTCCCAATCGTACACCGACACAGAAGACAACGTTTCCTCCATCTTCAACGGCCGCAACCTTCACGTTGAAAGCGACAAGTAAGCGTTCAGCCACCGGTGCCACCACCAAGATGCCACTTTGTGCAACTTGTAACTGTTTCTATTTTGCAAAATCGGCGAAAAAAAAATTTCTCGCAAAAAAGTGCATGAAAACAAAATGTATATCTGGCATTTGGAGAATGAATGTACTTCACCCAGTGGTTGCAACCTTACGCCGTCGTCTCGTTCATCTCGCGTTCGTAGCGCAACTTGTCCAGCTTGGCCGCTTCCACCCACGGCGCCTTCTGCTCAGGAGTCATGTCTTTCCAAAGCCTCACGAGCTCTTTCATGACGTCCACTAGCTGCGCGTCCTCGCCTAGCGATCGCTTCACCTCAACTCGAGTGGCCACGCTGAACTGCACGTATGCACTGCGAGGCTTCCGCACCGAGTTCAACGCTCCTTCCTTCTTCTTCTTTTCCTTCTTGACTTTCTGCTGCTGTTTCATGGCAGTCGGGGACCACGGAGATCGCGGTAAACGACTTTTCTCCTCGGACTTAATGGGAATTACGCCGCCACTGACATCTGTCATGTGTTCGTGCTTCAGTACCTTGTTCTCTTTCTTCAATTTGACCTTCCCAACATTGGCAAACTCCGGCTTGATCGTCCACACGAGCGATCCCTTCGTGGCAAGTTCATCCAGTTCTGCCACTTGACGGATCTTCTTCAACACGTACGAAGGTTGCAGCTCTTCACGCTTCTCATGACGGATCTTGGCGCAGAAATCAAGCGCAACTTTCGCTGCATCCATACTTGTCGCCTGCAACAGGAACGACACCAGAGCTTCCGTGTGTTGGTCAACCATTTCCTCGTTCTCATCGCGTTCCTTGCGCTTCTTGGCGCGCTTGGCTTCACGTTGACGTTGCATACGCTTGGCCTCCTTCATGATCAGTTCATCCACACGATCTTGATGCTGCTTGACATCCGCACGCGCCGCAGCAAGTTGTTGATCCAGCCTGGCACGTTGCTCCTGCAACACGCGACGCACATCGTTCTCCTTCTTCTCCCGGATCTCGAGATCCGCATTGTCCTTCTCGCAAATACGCATCAGCGCGTCACAGCGACGTCCGATCTCCGCTGCAGTACGTGACCGCAGATAATAGTCGAACGCGAACATCTCCATGCTGCAGATCTCCTGTTTGATGCGGTCCCATGCGCCGTAGCCGAACTGGTTCACCAGACACAGCAGCACGCGGTCCTCCTCTTCAGTGAACACCTTACCGCCCTTCCCTTGATAATTAATCGGCATATCTTCCCATGGGTTCGCGTAGCGCTTGACCTTCCGCGCCGTCTCCTCCGTCAAGCGCTCGATCTCAAGTAGCTTGGACTCTCCTTTCTCGATCGACTTGAAGATTTTCGGCCAATCGCTCAACTCGTCTTGACCTCGAGACAGGAAAACCTGCGAGTAGCGCTCGATCTCGTCCAGTGGCTTCATCATTTCACGAGCCACCGCTTCAATATTTCCACGTCCATAACGAGCCAGTAGCTTGATGAACAGGAAGAATTGCGGCTTGTTCCAGTCGCTAAAGCCTTCGGACAACAGCTGCTCCTTCTCTTGCAATTGCTCCTGGGTGAGATACTGTGCATGCGGTGGGAGCGGAGGCTTCTCCATCTCCGTCTTGGCTTGTTCATAGTTCGCACACTCGATCTCGTGCAGCTCAATAAGGCGCTTACGGTTGTAGAACTGCCACTCATCAATACGAGGCAAGCGCAACGCCTTGGGCAGCTGTTTCTGCTTCGTTCTGTGCTTACCTTCCAGCGACACGTGACTGTGACGAAGCACAGTACGACGCTCCCGCTTGCCCATCCCCTCAGCCATCTGACGTGCAAGCTCGGCATCAGCAAGACGCTTCAACTCTTCTTGACGTTCCTTCTCGTTCGAATAGTCGATACCGTCGTGGTTCTGACAGCCTCCTCCGTCAAGCTTGAAGTCCAGCATGTCGCCCTTGTCATGTACATGCATCTTCTGCTTCATCTCCTCGGTACGTTGCTCACCCCTGGCAAGAATCGCGTCGATATCCTCGTCCGTAATAGTCGAGTCGGTAGTACGGAACACCTGGTCAGCACCAAAGCGGATCATCTCGAGCATATCGTTCTTCGTCAGCTTGCTCTGCTTCTCCTGGAGACGTCCTTGCTGCACCACCATAGCGTCCAGCTTCAACTTCTGCTGAGCACGCTCAATAATCTTCTCCTCGACGGAGTCTGTAGTCACTAAACGATACACGTTCACCTCCTTCTTCTGCCCAATACGATGCGCACGATCCTGTGCCTGTAGATCGGCTTGCGGGTTCCAGTCCGAGTCGTACAGAATGACCACGTCGGCCGTGTACAAGTTGATACCGAGACCACCAGCGCGTGTAGACAATAAGAACAGGAACTTGGACGAGTTGGGCTTGTTGTACTCGTCAATTGAGCTCTCACGGTCCTCGTACGACGTCTGACCATCAATACGACAGTAATCGTACAGACGCATGCGACAGAAATCCTCCATAATGTCCAAGACGCGCGTCATCTGCGTGAAGATCAGCACACGCGAGCCACGCTGCTTGAGTTTCGTCAGCAACTTGTCCAATAGCACCATCTTGCCGCAGTTTTCAACCACGTGTTCTCCTAGCGGGTCCAAAGTTCGATCCTCCTGTCCTTCGAACAGATACGGGTGGCCACAGCACTTTCGCAGCTGCATCACAATATTCTGCAGCGCGCTCTTCGAGACTCCGCCCGTTCCGCCCATAATTGTGTTCATATCACGCAGCAGGAGCGACTTGTACAGCGCCTTCTGCATCTCCGACATGCCCACGAACAGCAGCGTTTCTTTCTTGGGCGGAAGACTCTTCTCGACATCAGCTTTGAGGCGACGCAGCATAAATGGACGTAGGATCTTGTGCAGTTGACTAATCATCTGCTTCTTGGCTTCGTCATCGTCCACGTCCAGGTTGAACCAGTCGTCGAACTCCTGTGACGAAGCGAACACATCAGGCAACAAGAAATTCAGTAGCGCCCACAGTTCGTGCAGGTTATTCTGGAGAGGAGTGCCCGTCAGCAACAAGCGGTGTTCGGTGTCCAGCATCCGGACAACAGTCGAGAACTGGGAGCTTTCGTTCTTGATACGATGCGCTTCGTCGATAATCAGGTATCTCCACGCAAACTTGCACAGCGCCGTCTTCTCCTTCAGACACATCTCGAACGTCGTCACACAGACGTCGAATTTGCGCTTGTCATCCGGTAAACCGGGACACAAAACCTCTTGTACACAGCGCTGACGTTCTTCCTTGTTACCATGGAACTTGACAGCACGTAGAGACGGACACCAGCGTTTAAACTCCGCCAGCCAGTTACTCAGTGTCGACTTGGGCACCAACACAATGTGCGGACCGGAAATGTTCTCGAATTCGTAGAAATACGCCAGCACTGAGATCGTCTGTAGGGTTTTGCCTAGACCCATCTCATCGGCGAGGATGCCGTTGATACCTTGGTGTGCCAGGTTGATCATCCAGCTCAGTCCTTCAAGCTGGTACGCACGCATCGTACCAAACTTAATCACTGACGGTTGCTGCGTGATGCGAACACCCACGTGGCGAGACGAGTCCATTTCGTCCTCGTCGTCATGGCGTTTCTTGGTCTTCGTCTTCCCTTTCGCCTTCTTGGAGTCAAGACCCTCTGCACTCTGCTCTCCCGTCTCTGCGTCTTCGTCAGCATCGAGTGCAGCACCCTTTTTGCCCTTTTTCACTTGTCCACTGAAGTGAGCGAAGATGTCGCTTTGAGACAGCAAGTATTTGAGTCTGGCCGATGCGATCTCGGACTTTTTCTTGGCAAGTGCCTCCTTTTGACGCTTTTCCTCGGCTTTAAGCTCGTCTCGCTCGTCGATCTCCTGCTGTCGGATCTCGTGTCGCAGTCTCTTGGCTTCCAGTTGCTTCTCCGAGAGTTCGCGTGGCTGGCGTTTGGGACGTGTCTCCTCTGTTACTTGAGTCTACGAAAAGAAACGTAAAAACAGCGTAAAACCAGGAATAAAAGCGACGAAACTTCTAGCGTCTCCTACTGACCTTCTTGCGCTCACGCTTGCCCTCCACGGCGCCATACATATCCTCTCGCTTACGTGCACGCTCGCGTTCCACCTCCTCATCGCGTGCGCGGCATTCTTCGTCGTAGCGCTTCTTGTCTAGCGTCCCGAGCTCCACGAACTCCTCGCGATCCCCAGCCGACAGCTGCACCCAGCGTGCGCTGATCTCCTTGGAGATGCTACCTAGTTCCACAGGCTCGTTGAGCTCGGCTGCCTTGGCCGCCACGTCACGCTTAACATCGTCTATGACGCGTTTTTGGAAGAACTGGTAGGCTGTCTTAGCCTTGGCCGGCTGGTTAGCCTCGACGCTTTGAAACTGCGCTTCGACGGCCACCCAGTCTGCACGACTTTCCTTCTTCTCCATAGCGTGCTGGCTGCGCGAGTGACGTCTGCAGACGGAGATACGAGCGTGGAGGAAGAGGCTCTACGACCTGCACTCCTTCAGATGGCTAATGAGGCGCTGGTGTGTGAGCAAGTGCCTCAAATAGAGCGCAAGGCCATGTATTTGAGAAGGTTACACGGTTACGTCGGGAAATGATAGCTGCACATTTCTGGGTTTTAATCAGTTTGTGGGTGAAGTCTATTCAGGACAAAAAGCTGACAGGACGTTTTCTGTGTCAGATCAAACTGGGGTTGAAGCCCAAACCCATAGGAAGAAAAGCGATGCAGTCGCTGGAAGAAGATGCGCGCTCGGACGCTGCTGTCCACGATGACGGTCTCCAATGGGATGCCTGCTTCTCGCACAAGGACTGCGACTCTTGTCTGAACGCCAGTGTGACGTGTCACTTTTGCAAGAGTGACTTCCAGTGTCATGCCATCGGATCTCCTTTCGGGTGCCCAGTAGGCGTATCAGTCTGTCACCACCTCGAAGGTCAATTAGCTCTATGGCAGCCCCGCTTCCACTGCTTGATATATCTTTTGACTCTCTGTCGATTACCTGTACTGCAGATTGCGAGCGCTCGAAGCCGCAGTACGTTGGCTACGGGCCACCGCCGTCCGTGGTCATTGCGGTGTTGTGTCTCATGGTGACGCTGACGTGCTGCTTCTGCGGCATGTCAGCCATTTGCTCGGTCTTCTGTCGAGGCGAGAGACCGGCGTCACGACGTGTCAGACTCGCAGAGGCTCTAAAATCTGACAAGAAGAAGAAGAAGGCAACTCTCAGGTGCGTCTATTTTGCTTCGTATTGCGGCTCAAACGTTGCTAATTATTACTGTCTCTGATGCGATAGAGATGATGAGGAGCGTGCACAGGCTCAGAGACAACCTTTGCTACTTGGAGAGATCCGAGAGGGTGAAGTCCGGCTGTTCGAGAACGAGGTGGATCAAGCGTCGCTTGAACGACTGCATACCCGCTACGAACACGACGAGCGGCAGTTCAACTGGAAGGCTTTTGCGTCTCGGGTGACGTGGCTGACGGTGGTCATCTCAACGACAGTCCTAGCTCTCATGTTCTATCCTCGTATGCCGGACTACAACGTGTGCAATCGCGAGTTTGAGTGGGAATCCATTCTACACAGCATCATGGGCTTGGAGCCAAAGGTGGAGTACCAGGTGCTCATCAGTGTGATCAACGAGAACCGTTTTGGCTTCGTATTGGAGTCTGGAACTGCTGATATCTACCACAACTCGACTCTAGTGGGAAAGTGGGAACTAGACAAGCCATGGGAGGCCAAGGCGGGTTCGATCACTGACAAGATCGCGGCGATCAACATTAAACCAGGATATGCAGAGGGGATTGCTCTCTGGAAAGACTTTAGCAGGAACGAACTCATTTTCCGGATCAACGCTACAATCACGGGGTCTATCACATGGGGGAGACATAAGGTTCGTGTCGTTATCGACTGTTAAGATGCTGCTACCTGACTGTGCACTTTGTTTTATTGGTCTAGATTTATCGCATTTCGTCCTCCACTCCGGACGTTGAGTTCCTTGTTGGAGCAGAATATGATCGTGGTCTCTGCAAGTGCACCGAGTACCTGACACCAACTTAAACTGCTCTGCACGTGTCAGATTTGCACGAAGACCCAGACATTTATGAGGCTATTTCGCAACTACAGAGTGTGCATATAACGTGATAAAAATCTACTTAACCATGCAGTTAGAAGCTTCCACTAGGCTGGTAGCTCACCATGTCGCCTCCACGTGCCGTAAACACTTTCTTCAGCATCTCGTCAGCACAAGCCATTCGAGCTCGTTCCGGTGTCACGGGGCTACGCAGCTCAAAGTATCCGTGGTGACCAGCATCTGCTCTAGCAGAGTAAATCGCCTCCTTGACCGCGAAGAAGGCACTGGAGCCCAAGAACAGTGGTGGCTCTCCGACGGCTTTACTCGAGTGGACTGCGAACTTGTTCTTCTGGTTCGACTCGAGCCACACATTAAAGTCCAGCGGCACGTCGTTAGCACTCGGGATCTTGTATGCTCCCGGTCCTCGAGTAAACAGGTTTCCTCGCTTCACCCACGGGTGTCCATTGTCTCCCCACACCAGCTCTTCCAGTGCGAACAAGCCGAATCCTTGCATGAATGCGCCTTCAATCTGGCCAATGTCAATAGCAGGATTGATACTAGCGCCGAGATCCATCAAGATATCCACGCTCAACATGTGGAAGTCTCCAGTAAGCACATCCAGCTCCACAACAGTGCAAGCCACGCCGGTCGTGAAGTAGTTAAACGCTGTACCCACTGCAATATTCTCATCAACAGACTTGGAGAAATCGTAGCCACAACGTTCGTTCGGAATGATGTAGAACCCTTGTGCCGACATGTTGACACGTTCAAAGTAGGCGGCATTAGTGACGTCACTAAACGAGGCATCGGGGCCGAGACGTTGACGTACTGGAGCCAGACGTGCCAAGATCTGCTCACACGCATCCAATGTAGCCATTCCATACAGATCCGTGCTCATGGAAGCTGCTGACGGCTGGGAATTCGGGACTTTGTTCGTCGACGTCTCCTCGATATGAACCAGTTCGTGTGAGATGCCAAAGGCTCGTGCAGCCACTTGAATGACCTTTGTATGCAGACCTTGTCCCATCTCAACACCGCCGTGTGATACCAGTACACTGCCATCAGCATACACATGAACCAACGCGCCACCCTGATTCATAAACTTGGACGTGAAGCTGATCCCGAACTTGGTGGGCAAGATCGCAACGCCGCGCTTCTTCCAACGATTGTTCTTGTTGAATACCTCTGCCTCTGCTTTCTTGGCTTCAAAGCCACTGCGATCGATCGTGTGTTGCCATAATGTCCGCAAGTTGAAATCCTCCAGAGGTTGACCAAAGTGGGTCGTCTGGCCTTCCACATACATGTTACGAGTGCGTACGTCTTCTGGACTGAGTTTCAGTGTACGTGCGATGTGATCGATGTACGTCTCTGCGATAAACAGACCTTGGGGACCTCCAAAGCCACGGAAAGCAGTGTTTGTTGCAAGGTTAGTGCGGCAGACAGTACCATGGCAACGAAGATTCGGGATCTTGTACGCGTTCTCGCAATGGAAAAGCGCACGATCCATAACTGCTAACGACAGATCCATCGAATACCCTGCGTTGTTGTAGATATCCACATCTAGCGCCAAAATGGTCCCATCTTGCTTGATACCGACCTTATATTTCGCGTAGAATGGGTGTCGACCGCCAGTAGTTAACATGTCGACATGACGTTCCAGGAGACACTTAACTGGTCTCTTCATGACGTGACTCGCGACTGCAGCTGCACACGTAACAAACACAGTACGAGTCTCTTTTCCACCAAAGCCACCTCCAATACGTTTCGTCGTACTGGTAATACGGTTCGAGTTGATCCCGAGGACTCTCGCGACTAACACTTGCGCCTTCGTTGCAGCTTGTGTGGACGAGATGACCTTCATGCCACCCTCTTGAGGCGTGCAAAGCGACACGTTGGTCTCGAAGTAGAACTGCTCTTGCCCACCCATATGCACCTCGCCTTCCAGCACAATGTCCGACTCGGCTAGTCCTGTCTCGACATTGCCGCTGTTAATTGTATGTGCTGGAAGAATGAACGACTTCTCTCGAATAGCTTCTTCAATCGTGGTCACAGACGGTAATTCCTCGTAAACGACCTGGACTTGATCCGAAGCTGCCATCGCTAGCTCGTGTGTATCTGCAATGATAATTCCAACCGGTTGACCGACACAAAGTACCTCCTTTGAAGCAAAACACTCCTCGTCCTTCAATACGGGACCAATTTTATTCGATCCCAGCTTTTCCGTCTCGAAAACGGAGGCGTCAAAGAAGCGATGAACTCCTTCCATAGCCAGAGCTTCACTTGCGTCGATACTCTTGATAAGTCCGTGAGCACAAGTAGACAATACCAACGCACCATGAAGCGTTCCGGGTGTGTTTGGGATGTCATCAGTGTACAACGCTTCGCCGCTTACCTGCAAATACGCCGACTTGTGCATAAGTGGGTCTCCCACTGGTCCTCTCTTCGTCTTGGCGTCACCTATGGGTTGATGCTTGGAGTCTTGTAGACCTCCAGTCTCCCTTCCAAACCTCTGAGTGCCATGCGATACAGGACGTACTTGATGCAGGAACGACGTCCCTGCTGACTGCATCGTACTATCAACAACTGGAGCATCAGACAGCAGCGAACCTGTAGCCTTTATCGCTTGTAAATCAAGTTGAAGTCGCTCAGACGACGCCACGTAGAACTTGTATAAGAATGACGAACATAAGCTCTCCCTGTACTTGGCCATACCGCCTGGAACGCCGTCAGGGAGCTCGAAATCGCTCGAGTGTAGCACGTCACACGCTTCACCAAATGTCGACGCATTAAATGTCTTGCCAATAAGAAACTGCTCCGTCTCCGCGGCAGATTTCGTGATCGGTGCCATGCCGCCGTACACCGCAGATGCATCTTGGATAATCCACGCGTCATTATCTCCTGAACACTCCAATCTCACGCGAATTCCCGCAGTTACGATACTGATATCATCCTCTCGACGACGTGCCTGCTTGAACGGGAGCATGTATTCCCATTTCTTGGTGTATGGAACATACACAGCCGTGATGATCTCGTCCGGCTCCATTCCTACCTTACGATAGGAGAGAAAGAAGTCACGAACGCGAGTGTATTGGGTGCCTCGTGTAGATTGCAGCTCGATGTACGCATTCATAGCTGCAAGTAAAGGATTCATATCGGAGATTGGACTGGCTGTGACGAGGTTACCGGCGATACACGCCACGTTTCGGATGTGTGTGCTAGCAAACCACTTGAGCATCTTGACGATCGACTCAAAGGCACGTGTCTGATAGACCGGCATTGTCTTGATAAGCTCCGACAATTGCTGCTTGACGTCTGTGAGTGTCACGGCCGCACCGAGCTTCACGCCTTCGAAGGGCTCAGCTCCAGAGAACACAGTCTGGTTGATAGGATCTGTTTGTGTCACGTCTTTGGTGGCCACGAGTTCAGGAATGCGACTCACGTTGATCAGATGTGCGTACTTGAAGCCTTTGAATTTGGTCTCGATCCCCATTTCCGTGTTCCCCACGGAGATTTTGGCATCAGGATGTTGCTTTTTGAGCTGGAGAAGGTGTGTGATGGTCACAGGAGCGAACCATTGGATATATTTACCGTCGATCTGCAGCGTTTGAGGTGCCATCGCCTTCTCCATCAACTCATTGGGGAACGAAGATACCGCCAAAGCCTTTGTGTTCTTTGAGGCACCTGTTACGGTGTCAACGTCGTGCTTTTCACGAAGCTGACAATGTTTAGCGAGCTCTCGGATCTTTCGAGAGGAGCAACTTGTGACTTCTTGATGGTTATCGCCGTGTAAATCCTCGATATCAACGTCTGCGTCGCCATTTTTGGCATTGGGACAACCTGGACACGTACCCTTGCAATGTGCCTCGCCCGCATCGTCACCGAAGCTCTTGGCTGCGTCCAAGATGGGACGGTAGCCTGTACAGCGACACAAATTACCGTCCATTCCGTGCTCGATGTCTTCCATCGTGAGCTCCACGCCTGACTCGCGTTGTTTGACCATCGAGTAGAGCGCCATGACGAAGCCGGGTGTGCAGTAGCCACATTGTGAGGCGTGTGACTCGGCTAGTACCTTCTGTACCTCGTGGAGCCCTGTGGCTTCGCCTGTGGCTCCTGTTATGGTGCCTACACCTTCAACGGTGGTGACGGCGCAAGTGTCCATGGCACAAAATGGGGCCAGACAAGAGTTCACCGACACGTGACGGACGCGTCCAGTGGCTACGTCGAACTTGGAGACCATGACGGTACATGCGCCACAGCCTCCCTCACCACAGCCGAGCTTGGTGCCGGCGAGCCCTAAATCATGGCGCAGGAACTGCAATAGCGTCTGCTCTGGGTGCACGTCCCTCTCGGAGATCTCGATGCGCTCTCCGTTCACATACAGCAGCAGATCGCGGCGCACGCCGGCGGTCGCTACAGGTGAAGATGGAGTGGCGGAATGCGGCGGCATCTGGAGTCCAGATTGTGGACTTGCTGCTCGGACCGCTACTTGAAGAATGCGCCGATGATCGCAGAATGCGCACCCAAGGGAGACAGCGTCGTTCTGATAGCACCCTGGTTATGTGGGTTTAACTTTCAAGTGAACCTTCACATCACATACCCTTGTAGATCCGATCGACACATTTGTGATCTACAAATCAGTTAGGGAAAATGTCAGCACGTGTATGCGTTCGCAGTTAGTCGTGGATTTGCACTTTAGTGACATCACAAATTCGGAATATCTGACAAATATGATCAAATCTAAAGAAAAAGACCGGTTTTGAGCAGGTCTCTTCGGGATCCAGTATGCTCGGTTTAAAAATAAGACCGGTAATTTTGACAAAATGGACAGCTGAAATACCAGTATGTAGGGCACACCACAATTAGTCAGGGTATGAGTCATACCCAGTGTTGGCAATTGATATTCACCGTTAATATCAGCTAAATTAGCTGAATGGGTTATTAATCGTTAATAACAATGAATAACTAATTTTCACAGTGACAATTCAAACAAACAATCGGGCTACTGTACAACCGACTTCCACTCGCATAGCGAAGCGGTTATGGCAAGGAGAATTGAGCATGGGTATGCACTAGTCGGAGAGCGCTACAAATCCGAAGCTATGCGGTAGCTACCTGGATCTGTTTGCCGAAGACAGCGGCTGTAGTGCGACCGCAATGCACTCTGCTCCCTCAACTACGGCGTACTCTTGCACCGCAGTAGACCGGGGCATTGTCTTCGACTCCTTCTCGTGTTCACCGTAGAGATCAAGCTCAACGCCTGCTGCTGCATGTTTTGCGGTACAGACTGTCAAATAATGCGCTCCCAAGGCTTCGAGGAAGGCGATCGTTCGAGTGGACAGCCTGAGAGGCTACAACGTATTCTTCGAGGAAACGCAGGTGACTATGTGTTATTGCTTCTTAGAAATTTGATGTGTCTGCGGCACTCGAGCAGTTATTATCGTGAGGTACCAGTAATTATGAGGGAAATTAGTTGACGGAGCTCATAACGCAAGAGCAAGAAGCCAAGAGTACGCACATCGGTCACGACGCTAGCTACTGCCATTCCGAGATAATTTCTATGGGATGATGGAGTCTTTACGGAGGTGGCCAGGCACAATTTTGGATTGGTTCTTTGACGGAAAAATCTGTGAATGCTTGGTGCAATGCAAGCACCGCTACCTGAGATGGTTGGAAGATCCGAGCCGGGAAGAGGATAAGGTATTGCGGTCAAGTGCAGCCGAAACATCAGTTAGCGGTATGAAACCCTAAAGATATCGCGATCAGTAGCACTACAATATTTGTCGACATAGCTGTGCGTGAGTCTTGCTAACTCTATTGCTTCTATTGTGATAGTCTAGCATTTCAAATTGCAAAATGATCAATAACTTGGAAACGCTAGGAAGGTAATGCACTGGAGCAACAATTTTGCAGCTTACAGATGATTTTGCGCTAAACGCTGATCTGGAAATGAAGTCGTGGTCATGAAGAAGGGAACATTGATGAAAAGAAGACTGCCTCGTGCTCAAAGTTGCATACACCCAGTGAGGAGAGCTGACAGTGCAGTCATTGAGACTCCCTTTCATGGATGAATTTAATTTTCTGAGTGGCGAACTATAATCGGTCAGCTTTCTGCATTGAAATGGTGCACCGGGCCCGGCGAGCGCCAATACCGGCTCGTCTCGAGTGTGTTTGTGGATGCAACGGTGTTGACTATCATCTTGTGTGTGTGCGGTAGTGTTTTGAGAAGGGAATTATATATATTATTTGTTTTGCAGCTCAATCTATCTTGTCTGGCATATCGGTTGCTCTCGTCCATTGAAAACTGGAGTGGTGAATCTATCATTAAGACTTACCTCTTGAAGTACTGCTGTTGGTGATCCAGAGCCAGTTGGTTTTGTCCGCAGATGCCTTGTTGTGGGTGATGGCGATTGGTAGTCGTTTGTGAGCCCCCCACTATCATCTTCGCTATCGTCGCTGCTATCGCTGGAGTCACTACCGTCACAAGCTTCAGGAAAGAGCTGGTACATGATAGGGCTCACTTCAGTTTTCCGAGCGATATTGGTGTACACGAAAACGAGTCTGCTAACCCGCTCAGGAGTAAGGCGATTGCGCAGTTTAGTGTGAATAAATCCGTGGATGCTCCAGCTACGCTCACTAGAAGCTGACGATGTCGGTATTGATAATAGTAGCTTCGCAAACGACTGCACCAGACGGTATTTGGTATCAGGAAGTGACCACCAGTTCAATGGGCTGAACCGATTGTTGTCTAAGCGCTCCGTCCCTTTCCAGCTACATTTTTCCAGAACGAATTCTTGCAGCTCATTGTGGAACGTATCCTCCTGAGATCGATCGACAAGCTCTAGTTTCCTGGCAAGTTCAGTAGCATCAGTTATCAGTTTTTTTGAGTCGTGCCCATCCATCGATTTTGTTTGGTCCAGCATATGGGCAATCCCCAGTGGCTTCCAGCAAATTTTCTTTTTTCTGTCCTCGATTGCGCGAAGCACCTGCAGCTAATGTTCCGTACTACATCCATCCAAGGATTTTGTGTAGACATCGTGAGTACGCAGCCAACTGAATTGGTGGTAAACAAGCGAAATACTGCAATCATCACGCTCAAAGGCAGCAAGGCTCGTGTTGATAGGCCGGATTATAGCGACTGTAACAGCAGCGTCTTGCCAGAACTCCTCATCCTTGAAGGTCTTCGTCGCTTCTTCCAGGTCTGAGCCCTTGTAGTTCCTTAGAAAGGCTGTGTCGGAAAAAATAGCAGCAATGACATCTCGATTTTGAACCACGTTGGCGATACATTTCTCATGGGTGTACCAGCGTGTTGCCACCGTCAGCGAGAGACGACGGCGTTTTTCTCCTCGCTTCTTAAGTTGTTTTTGAGTATCCCGAAAACGCGACCACAGGCCACGCCGACCCCTGATGAAACGAGCTAGGGCTTGTGCCTTGTCGAGGACGTCTTTAAAAAACTTCATTTTAAAGATGTCTTTTATCAGCAGATTCATTCCATGCGCTGCACACCCAGTGCACACCATACCTTTGCGCTCCATCCGGACAAGCTTCCAAGCCTTTTTCATATTCGCGGCGTTGTCGGTAACGACGGCGGTAACTGCCCCAGCTCCGACCGCTTCTTCAAGCTCGATGATAGTGGATAGAATAGTGTCTGCAATATAACGCCCGGTGTGTACCTCAGCTCTCGTATTAATTGATTTCCAAAAGACAGGAGGAAATTTAGGATTCACAAAAACAAAATTAATGATACTGTCACCATTAACGTTGGACCAGCCATCCGTCACGAGCGTCCACCCGGAAACTCCACTCATCAAAGCAATAATCCGGTCCATCTCACGCTTGAAAATTAAATCCAGCAGACGCTCTGAAAGCTGCCGGCGAGATGGAAGCTTGTAATCAAACATAGCACGGAAATGAGGGTCGTCAATCACTCGAAAAGGAATACCGGTAGCAATGAACCCCATAGCAACCCGTAAGAAATTATCCTCCTCACTCTGCTTGATCGACTTGTTTAAAGAACTGCGTGGTCTCTTGCGTGAGCCCGTGCGTGGAGACCCACTCTGGGGTGTATGGAATAAGCGCTTACTAATAGACGACGGAGTTTTAGCTGAGCGTCTTGCTGGGGTCAGCAGCTTAGATGCTTTTTCGTGACGACGCTGTGAGTCATACCGAAGCCACCGCTGTTTCGACTCAGCGTCGACCTTGTCACACTTCAACACGTGTGTGAGCATGTTACGCGAAGGCTGCGCATTCTTCAGCACCTCGCCACATGCATTGCAGCTGGCGTCCGGGTGGGGCTTAGCTCCTTTGACGCGGGCAACTGCAACGGTGTAAAGCCTCCATATCTCATGCTGTGACGGTGCCATACTGTTGAGCGCTCGTATTAAGCTCACACCCTGTATCAGACTGTGTCAATATGTTTGAAAGCGACTTGAACGTCGCACACACGCGCGAGAATTGGTGTACCGTCAGAAGGGGCTATATCCAGCAGCGTCGGGCTGAGCTTTTGTGGAGATGAACGGAGCTTGCACGGCAGGGAAAGACGTCGGGGTGGGGGCGCTAGTTGTGTTGTGAGTCTCACGCGAGATCTTTGCTCGAGCAGAGCGATCTCGCGGGACTTCAACCTACTGGCAGCATCACCATACGCCAGAAATTGAACATTCGATATTCACAGTTAATATTAATGTTAACTTGGGAATGTAAACGATTATAATCGCTAATATACCTGTTAATAGTCGTGAATTGCCAACCCATACCGTATGACTAATTAGCGTGAACGGTGTTAACCAAAGGTGTATCTAATATAATCGGTTTGGACAATATTTGACACCGCGTAAAGGGGTGTCAGTAGGTATATGAGCAATGCCCGAAGGTGTAAACGATCTGACCGGATTGGCTTATTATGAGCGGTCTGCCAAAAAGGTTTTTCTGTTTTTGTTTTGAAAAAAATCCAGTGCATAGCCGTATGTGTCACAAATAGGGAAGGCTGCTAGAAGTGCCATTTTCGCATTTTCCGACCGAGGGGCACGAAAAGGGCTAAGGACGTTGCCGATATAGGAGAAGAAGGGGGCGCTTGATTGGCGTTGTACACAACGTCAACGCCGAGCCTTGCCATCATTTTCTTCACCTTGACATTGAAGACCTTCAGTGCAGCGTCAGCGTCTTCTGGTCTCACCTGGCCTTGACGAGTCTGCACACGCATGGTCAAGCGGTGCCACTTGAACCATTTCTTTGTGCTGCGAACACCTTTCTGGAAACGCCTACTTCGCGAGACACCGACAGCGTTTTCCGGTGCAGCATCAAAAGTAACACCGGGATACCTTGAGTACGGTACACGCTGTTCCACTTAAAATTTGCACTTCGGCATCAACCGGAGGAGCTGAGCCGGTCCCGACTGCACGGATCGTACGAAGCTTAGCCGAAGATGGAGATTTACACAGCTGCAGTAGCTTGTCTTTTTGCTTGAGCCACAGGTAGATGCTCGTGCGCTTCGTTTGCAGCTGAGATCCACATAAATCTGAGAAGAATTTGTCGAGAGTCGACCTCATATTACTGACCTTTAAGAAGAGAAGAGCACTACGTCCAGTCGAAAGTGATGCGGGGGCACCAAGCGCTTGTGCCTGCGAGCCTGTCTTCCGTCGGTTTTGCTGTGCTTCTGTCTTTCTTTGGTCATTTGGAAATGAGTGCGATCTAGTGCCGGTACAAGAAATTACTGCGTCGAACCAAAGTGTAGACCACCCAATGGCCCCTTTCAGCAAAACGTTGGAACCTCTAACCTGGAAGTTTTTTTCTAGGTTCGAGGGAAAACACTTTCAGCATACCACTTTTTTCTCCTCCAACCGCAAAAAAAGTCACTAAAAGTTCCAAGTAAACCTCGGTTCAGTGCCAAAGTTTTAGGGAGCGGAAGAGGTCCCTGAAACGTGGAACTTGTGAGACTGGATAGATTCTCCGTGGCACTCATTTTCACTCCCCCCCTTCAGCCTGCGCATGGATAGCGGAGAGCCCGAGGCAGAGCCCCCGGGCTCTGCCGAGCCTGCGTCTGTGCGAGCTCTAGAGCCTGCGATCTCTGACTTCAAGCGCAACTGCACCGACATCACGATCCTTGCTCTGGTGCGCGCGTGGCGCGCTGTGTACAGAAGTGGTCGAGCCAAGGACGAGAAGACGACGATGTTTAACGAGCGCATTTTCGTTGCTTACCAAGCTGCCGTCCCGTCGACTCAGCGTTCAACGAAGGCAATAGAAGATAAACTCCAAGGACTGCGTGAGATGTATCGTTTCATCAGTGATGTAAACGCAAACAGAGTGCAAGGCAGCACTGGGAAGGCTGAGTGGTTCGATCTCTCCAAGCAAGATAAGAAAGAGCTAAGGTATGGTGGTTCTATGGAATGCAGACCGTGCTTGAGCTTACAGAATACTATTCTTCACAAACAGGGAATTTCATCGCATTAAAAGTCCCAATATCTCACAGCAAGTATACTCGGAGCTGCACAGCTTCTTGTCGGATCAACCTGATACGACTCCACTGAGGTCTAAATTCACCTCCCAGCCACGATTCTCAACCGCGGATACACAGTCTTCTGAAGAGGGCTCTGTGTTCAACGATGAAGAAACCGACAGATCTACGGATCCCCACAATACAGGCAGGAAAAGCAGAAAACGCAAACGTCCGGACAAGTACGAAAAGCTGCGTGAAATGCTGGACCAACGTTCGGAGGCGACTTTCGCTCAAGCACGTCTATTGCACGCAGAAGAGCTAAGCCAGCGCCGCCAGCAACATGATGAGCACATGACGCTATTGCGAGCTTTCTTGGACAAGCTCTAACGCATTTTGCCACGTTACGAGCGACGAAATGCCCACCACTGCTTTAGTTTTTCTCGTAGGTTGTTAGTTATAGCTGGCTCGAGTTCCGTTTGAGGCTGTGGGAATTTTCTTTCGTACTCCTGCAATACACTCTTTACTTCTTCTTCATCGATAGCGACAGTATCACTGTAGTCCATTAGGAAGTTTTGAATGATGCACAAAGCGTACACAATGTCTGGAGCAATCTCCGTGTCCAAATCGACCCCCCGGAGCAAAATGCGCCACCTACATTTGAGCTGTCCAAACGCACATTCTACACGGTAACGTGCGCGAGTAAGATGCTCGTTGAGGTCTTTGCAAAGTTCATCTTCTGTCTCCGCCAGCTCAAATGTTGTCACTAAGAAATTGGTATTTTGATAGCCAGAATCTCCTAGCAAAAACGGTGGCAGATTTACATGGGTGTCATCTCCAGTCGGTATCGCCACACTTGCCGCAGCCGCAGACACACTGGGAAACACCCGACCCAATGTGCTGTTGCGAAACACACGACTGTCACCTACGCGTCCTGGCCACTTGCAATCCAGGTCGCAAAACCTCCCCCTCCAATCGACAACGGCTTGCAATACTACACTATACCAGCATTTTCGATTGTAATACATGTCTCCATCATCGCTAGGTCGAGCAATAGGTATATGTGATCCATCAATACAGCCCACAATCTGTGGCACACCACACAACTCAGTAAAATGGGAAGCACATTGTACCAAAGGGGGGAAAGCTACTAAATCCGTGAGCTCTTGGCATACAATGGACGACACCTCGCGCACGATACCGGAGACTGTAGATGGCCCAATGGCAAAACGATCTGCTGTGGCTTCCAGCGATGTGCCCTGAGCACATAGATACAAGAAGACAGCTACTCTCACTGGAGGCAACACAGCATCTGGTGCCATTCTTCCTGTTGTGAGATGGGGGGTCACAGTCCGTATCAGAGCGCCAATTGTAGAGCTATCCATGCGAAATAGGTTACTCATCGATCCATCGAAGTAGATGCGCGAAGAGAACAACATCTTAGCCCAGTGTGAGCTGCGCTGCTTCGCGAGAATCTCCCGATCCTTTGGAGCTGCTACTTCGGCTATCACATCGAGTTCTGCTTGGTACGCTTGCTGGATGAGGTGTCTTGCTTGTCCGCCCATGCCAGCTGGAGGAGGAATCCCCTCCAAGAGAAGCATTAGCAGCAGTCCGACGTTCATGGGCCGCGACCTCTTAGAATATATAGCCAGAATGATTGTGGAGAGCACGCAGCACCTCCAGGGGAAGATTTGCTGAACGCATGGGAAAAACAAAGCTTGGAACTTTTATTTCAGGTTCCAGGTTATATTTTTGCTGAAAGGGGCCATTTGGTGTAGGATATGACAATTCTTTTTTAGAAAATGTATCTACTCGACTCTGATTGGCTATAATGCATTTTCGGATACGACAATTTGCTGGAATGACAATTGCTAAACCGGTACGGTAATTAACCCTTTAAAAGGTTAGGTGAACCACATGACCTATCTACCGTCATATCGTTTTTGAGCTCCCTAAAAGCATACCGAATCCTCGCTCAATAACCGATTCCTCCGTCTCCTTTCTGCGGCCCCAAATCGCATCCGACGTGAGAGCAACATGGGCGCCAAGCAGTCGCGTGTGGTGACATCCGAGGTGGCAGCGGAGCTGCGTCCGGAGGACGAGCACGAAAGAGAGACGCGTGCCTCCATCCGTCTCACGCCAGCGCTCGTGGATCAGATCAACGGCACGCATACCGCCCACAACACAGCGGCGGGGGGTGTCGACGCACAGTACGATGCAATTGCCAGCTCTTCATTTTCTTAAAGTCACTGACATTTAATGCCGCTACAGGCAGCAGGCGATCTTCAAGAAACAGATGCAGATGGCCTACGCTAAGGTGCGACGTCAGTGAATCATTAGACGTGTGTGTGGAGCTGCTGACAGGCTTCGAATCTCTTGGCTATTTTTTTTTCTATCAGGGTGTTGATGACTGCCGAAAGAAGATGGAGGCGGAGCTAAAGCAGCAGCAAGCAGCCACTAGTGCGCCAAGTCTAGCGCAGCAGGCGCAGTTTGCCAAGGAGCAGGAGGAACGTGAAAATAAGCGCGTGGAGCAGCTAGTGGCTGAGATCAACAAGAAGAAGTACCGCGCACCGCTCCGCGACGTGCAGTGCTCATCTGAGCGTGATGCGTGCTTGCAATGCTATAGAGACAAGAAGAGCGACGTCTTGAAGTGCAAGGAAGTGGCCGACGCCTTCGTGCGATGCGCTCGACAAAACACCGAGGTGCGTACGGGCAGCAACACCGGACCAGGGTGATGCCATGTCTGACGCTGTGTGCTTTAATAACCACAGAAATATGTCGGAGAGAACTGAAGTATCTACCCGTCGAACGACTTTTTGCTTGGATCCCTTTATGCCCTTGACTTGACCAGCCCTCTAAAAGGAACAAGTCTCGACCTGCTCACAATTCGAAAAGAAAGATGGCAACGTAATAAAAAGCCTGGTGGTGAATTGAGAAGTGAGTGAGTACATGTATCACTCGATGCGTCCAGCTACAAAGGGTTCAAAGTGATATGTATATTGAGCAGGGTCTTCCGCCAAGGCTTCATTTCTTAGCTCAGCTTCGAAAATTCGTTCCAGGTCATTAGTTCTCCTTGTCGAAGATGTTGCCGATCATTCCTGGACGCACATAGTCCTTAGGTTTGCCGATCTCAGCACCCAGGCCATCGAAGCTGTCTACCTGGATGATGACCTCACGTGCAGCCTCGACTTCGTCAATGAACTTCTGTTCGTCAATAGTGGCACTACGTTTCTGCTTACGTAGTGCGGTGAGCGTGCGATCGGCCTTCACTGCCTTCGGCAACGTCGCGTTCAGAAGAGCAACACGGTCTTCTGGGTCTTCCGAAACGAACACATTGTCGCTCAACAAGTTCCGCACAGCCGAGTCGGTGGAGATCAGCTCGGAAACCTGACGCATCTGCTTGTCAGTGGGAGAGTCGTACGGCAAACCGAACGGGAACGACAAGCCACGCATAATCGGACCGACACCAGGCACAGGGAAGTTCTTACTGATCCCCACAATACCCTGCTGTGCCTCATGACACAGCTGCGTCATGGCGTAGTCAAAGATCACGTCAATACCTTCAATATGGCGGTTGTTCTTGTAGAACCACATTGTCGAGTACCCCAAATAGAGACTCGAGAAGACATCAGCGAACCGACCGGAGATCATCTCAGCGAACTTGAGTTTACCACCAAGCACCAGCGATAGATCCGCACACATGGCAAAATTCTTCGACAGCTTATCCATCTGGGACTCATAATGAGTTAGAAGACCACTCTGCTTCTTAAATCGTGAGCGTGTTACTGCCGTCTTGAGCGAGCCAGCTGTGTTCGACACGCCGTGCTTCACCAGCTTGACCAGTTCCTTCTTGAATCCGTCAAGATCGTCGCCGTGCTGGATAGTCTTGATGAGTTCGTACAGATGAGGGTGCGCCCGTGTAAGACCTTGACCGAAGATGATGAGAGAGCGCGTCAGAATGTTAGCACCTTCCACTGTGATGACCACAGGCAGCGAAGTGTAGATGTTAGCGATGAAATTGTTGGGACCCTTGCAGATTCCAGCTCCACCGAGGACATCCATGGCACGAATGACAGTGTCACGACCACGGTCCGTGATCTGCTGCTTGCAGACGCCACTGATGACTGCAGGCTGTTCGTGCTGATTGATCATTGCGTTCACCATGTGCTGACCACTGGTCATGATGAATGCGTTACTGCCCATAGTCGCTAGCTGCTCCTGGATACCTTCCAAACTGGCAATCGGCACCTTGAACTGCTTCCGGATACGCGCGTAAGCACCGACTGCGTTGACTGATAGCTTAGCACCTGCAACAGCGGAGGCTGGCAGACTGATGGAGCGACCTTCAGCAAGACAGTCCATGAGCATGTTCCAGCCGTAGCCGACACGTTCTTGGCCGCCAATGATCTTAGACATTGGGATAAACACATCCTCACCGGTCACAGGGCCGTTCATGAAGGGGATTGAGATCGTATCGTGGCGTTTACCCATCTGAAGTCCAGAGTGGTTACGCTCTAGCAGAGCTACAGTGATACCAGGGTTACCTTTGCCCTTCAGAAGCCCCTGAGGGTCCTTCACGTCCACCGCCAAGCCTACACATGTTGCAACCGGTGCTAGGGTGATGTAGCGCTTGCTAAACGTAGCACGGATACCAAGAACGCCATCTTGTTCGCATACAATGCCCGTGTCGCGCATGGTAGCAGCATCTGAACCCGACGACGGGCCTGTGAGACCGAAGCACGGCAGGTGTTTGCCATTAGCCAAGCCAGGGAGGAAGTTGTTCTTCTGCTCCTCCGTTCCGTAGCGAAGTAGTAGTTCAGCAGGGCCCAGTGAGTTGGGTACACACACTGTGACGGCAGCAGTAGCACTGCGTGTAGCGATCTTAGTGATCACGACCGAATGGCCGTGTGCACTGAATTGCTTGCCGCCGTACTCCTTAGGGATGATCATACCGAGGAATCCTTTGTCCTTGATAAACTGCCAGACCTTAAGAGGCATATCTTGATCGCGCGTGACGTTGTAGTCGTCGATCATCTCGCACAACTGTTGCACCTCGTTGTCCATGAACGCCTGTTCCTCCGCGTTCAGCTGCGCCGAGTACTTGTCCAGCGTAGCGAGTGACGGATAACCCGAGAAAATGTCGCGGTCGAAGCCCACAGTGCCGCTTTCCAGCGCTGCCTTCTCCGTATTAGACATGTGCGGCATCACGCGCTTGGCCAGCTTGTAAACCTGCTGGGCGACGAACGTGCGCGACTGCGTCTGATGCAGAACCTGCACCGCCGGCAAAGTCGAGCGGGCGGAGACGACGCGTAGGCCGCCGAGATGTGTTGAGCTCTTAAGCAGCGCAGGGGACAGCATCGTCGAAATGAATGGGGACGTGGAGATCCTTGTGTCGGCTGGCGCGTCGATTCGGAAGTGAGAGCGCTCGACGTCTCCTGGGAAGCGCGTTGAAGTGGCATAAGCTTTCTCGTCTTTGATTGGTTTATTTTAAGATCACGTGGGAACTTCTGAGATTCCGACGTCAAATGTGTCTCGTACATAACTTTTTTTATGAAGAAGATGTCTGCCCGCACGCTAGTGTCGCGCTTGATCCCGCCACTCGCGGCGCAGTCGCACAAGGGCCAACAAGGTGTGAGCTCGATGTAAATGTACGCTAGATTGCTGTGGTCTTGACGGTGTCGGTATTTCTGCATTGTAGGTCGTGTGGGCGTCGTTGGAGGATCATTTGAGTATACTGGTGCACCGTACTACGCCGGTATTTCGAGCCTTAAGACGGGAGCGGACTTGTGCCATCTGTTCTGCGTGGAGGAGGCTGCTGTCCCAATTAAGAGCTACAGTCCTGAGCTGATTGTTCACCCGCTGCTGCACTCGGACGCGGCGTTGGCGAGAGTTGAGGAATCGAAGCGCGCTGCGGTCTTAGCGGAGGCGGTGGAGAGAATTGCACAGGTGCTGCCGAGACTAGACGCGCTGGTTGTTGGTCCCGGACTCGGACGAGATGCTAGTGTACAGGAGATCGCCCGAAAAGTGATTGATAAGGCCAAAAAAGCCAATTTACCAGTGATTTTCGACGGCGACGCACTGTATCTGGTTAGTCTGGAGCCGGACACGGTGAAAGGATACAAGAACGCAATCCTCACGCCGAATGCAGTATGTTTTGATGTAATGTTTTGTGGTTATGGAGTTTAAATGCTTACAATATCCGATAACTAGATGGAATATGCACGACTGTGCGCTACGACGGGCCTGGTATCCAGCGTTGACGTCGCCGAAGCCGCAAAGATTCCACCTGCCCAGCTCAGTGAAGCGTACGTATCATCTGGGTCTATCGCTCTTGTGCTTGATACTCAACAACTGTATTGCACGTGTCCAGCTTAGGATTTCCAGTCATCATTCAAAAGGGCGCCATCGACACCTTCTCGGACGGCAAGACCAGTACGTTTTCATTTTTTCTACTAGTATAAAGGAAGCTAGTCTGCTTGCTCAATGTTTTGACGTGTGTGGCTTTATAGCCTGGACAAACGATGAATTTGGTTGCCCACGTCGGTGCGGTGGACAAGGAGATGTACGCGTGTCTTCTTTCTTCTCTTGCACTGACGCCATGAAACTAATGCTGGTATCTGCTTAGGTCCTTACCGGAGCAATCGGCACATTTGCCGCCTGGACAAAGAATTCTGATCTGTACGCCATTTTGTGTCTGCTAATGCGACGTGGAATGAGTTCTAATCGTTTGACAAATGATAGGGGCAACTTTGAGGGCAATCCACTATTACTTGCTGCCTATGGAGGCTCTCTTGTGACACGAGCCAGGTCTGTTATCGTTGCCTTCTCTCTCGTCAGTGAACAGGGTGATTAATACGTCGAACTTGTTGCGTTTGCAGCTCGTTACTTGCTTATGAAGAACATCAGCGCTCGATGACGGCTCCTGACGTGCTGCACAGCATCGGCAAAGGCTTCGTCAAGGCATTCCCCAGCTCGTCTATGTAGGGAAACCAGTCGACAGGGGTGAATATGCGCAGCCATAGCGAGTCAAGCGGGGTCTTGCTCCCTCTGCCTTATTGGCGGGTCTGGCTTCAGAATGGATACTCATCACCATACACGACGGCTATGCTTTAGCGGCTTTATGTGGCATTAAACATTTTACAATAGCCGTCGAGCGCCAAAGCTCGCGAACGTAGGCTGAAACTAAAGACGACCTCGCTCTACCATCGCTCACACGTCACGATAGCCGGCAACCGTCAAGAGGCCAAAAGCACCCCGTTTCCACTCACTGTTTGTCTCTGTCTCTGCAATCTTCCCACCAGTTGAATATACACTAGCCTAGCAGACGGCGTTGATGGTTTTGTAGAGATCGCCAGCGAGTTTTTTAGTCGACTCCTTCTGGGAGAGCGTCAAGATGTCACGAAGTGTTTCAGGCAACCGAGGCAGCTCCAAGCTACGAGGAAAAAAAAACATAAGGGTGAGTCAGCTGTCGATACAGATATCCTGACTGTGAACTTACTCGTTGAGGGTCGAGATGTCGTCAGCAAAGTTCAAAATGGTGTAGATGGCGAACCGGACGATGTCCTCATTGTCATCCTTGAGCATCGACTGCAAGCCCGTGACGAACTGCTCCTTGAGCAGGTCAGCAAGTGCGCGACGGTTGGAGTCGTACTGGCAGAGTTCTTTCAGGCGTTTAGCCACCTCGTACCGCGTGAACGGCGGCGACTCCGAGTTGATTTCAAGAAGCAACATCGACAGCTCCTGCGAGTCCACTGAGAGAGATCCGGGGAAGAGTTCTCCGGGTGCTGACCAGTCTGCCAATATATCAAAGCTGAAAGACACCAGACGGAACCCGACGGCGTAGCACACGATGCAACACATTCACTTGTGTTAAAAACAATTCTTCCACTGGTGCAAGGCGCAAGCGTGCTGAATTTCAGCATCATAGCGGTGCACCAAGCATAAATTACAACAAGAAAAAGAAAAAATATATACAGTAAAGAGACACCAACCTTAGCTCTGGCAATCCCATCAGGTCTTTGTCGATTGACCTGCACTCCTTGCGAATGGAGTCCATCAACCCGAGGAACTTGAGCTCGTCACCCTGCAGTCGACAAGCAAGAAGTAGAGCATCAATAACTCCTCTTGATGAAGAGACATAAGCGAGAGCTATTGATACGTACCGAGCGCAAATTAAAGTCCACGCGGATAGTCGACTTCATGGCCAAGCGATGCAGCTGAACGTTGAAGAACAGCTCCTCGGCCGTGATCAGCGCATAAGCGTCCATCTATCCATACAACCACGTCAGTTCAAAGCTGAAGCGTTAAGGCAGTTGGCTAAGATGGTCTTGTACCGTCCAGTCGGGACTACACGAGAACTCGACGTCTTGTGCTCGCATCGCCTTGTGCAGCGTGTGCAAGATAACGTCGGCAGGTTCGCACGACTCGAACATGGGGTTCACTTGACGATAACCTACTTCTCGTGCATCGGGTACCTCTGCGGTGGGTACGAAAACCTGCGACTCGGTCGATTCGCCTCCTGTTGATGCAGCGCCAAGACCAAAGTCGGTGGACTTGTGTTCAAAGCCCAGCACAGCTGAGGAACCGTCCTCCAAATCCTGCAATGTGGCTGGACTGGTAGTAAACATCACTTTTCCTGGCGGAGGTGGCGCGAAAACGTCTTCGGTCTGTAATGGTGAAGTGGCTCGTTAGATGTCTCATTTTTTACGGTTAGAATGAGTCTCCGCACCTGAGAATCGAAGCGCGAAGACATAAATTGAGTCTCCACGTTGGCACGGCGATAGGTCACTTCTCGATCGGGGATTTCCAACGAGCTCATGGTCTGCTGATACGTTCACGCCACAATTCATTTGAATTTAGTATGGTGCAACCGTTTTGAAATTGCTTGACCCACAAAAGTGGCCAAAGTTCGCGCGCTCGCCACGTCGCCAGGAAGCGATGAAATGCGCACATTCGCGTGTTTGCGCTAGACCACGCGTAGTGGAGCGTAATGGGGGACTCACCTCGTCCAGAACGAAGCCCTCGCGGTGCTGCACCTCACCAATCCAGTCGTCTTCATGGTCGCTTCTCGACATATTCGTTCCAAGTCTTTTTCGTCCGTTTTATTTGAAAATTACATGAACCTCTATGTAAGGAACAAGTATTCATTTGTGATTGGAGAAAGACCCTCACTCACGAAAATGCTCTTAGCGGATATTCAGCTCACATGCGCCTTTCAAAGAAAACTTTTACAGAAGGCTAAGAGTATTAAATCCAGATACCCAGCCTTTGACCCAATGGGTACTTAGTACATGTACGTAGGTATGAAGCCCGGTGCAGCACTAAATTCATCCATTCAGATCTTGTTAGGGATAAATGTATTTTTTTCAGATTATTTCCGGAAGTAGCACTTCTTTCCACTGGTGCGAATATCCGACCCGTCTGTTTCTGGCTAAATCAGTACATGTTGCCCAGTGAGCGCTTAGAGAGCGGAGACCCACCCAAGGTCGGGGGCGCGGTGCGTAGCGCGGTGCGTAGCGCGGAGTACGTGTACAAAAAGAAGGTTCTATCTATACCGGAGCCACCGAAGCGAAGCGGAGGTCGGTGACTAGGGAGCGCTCTAGCTTAGCGCCTCGCCGCGATCAGCGGCGATTTGGACTAAGATAAGTTTTTATTATCGATTAAGTACGAATCACACAGATTTTCGGACGGAATCTAGATACTGTCGCACCAGTGGTGCTTCTGCTACGAGTCGCTCTCCTCTAGCGTGAGAGTTTGGATGGCCATGAGAAGGGCGTCGCGTGGGTTTGACACCCCAGCAAGAACTGTGGGCCAGGAGATGGTAGAAAAGATGTTTGAAGAGTTTCTCACCTCTATAGGGCTGTCGAAAGTAGATCTAGATGGCATAAACAGAGTGCATAGTGAAGCCTCAAGCCTTCCTACACATTATATGTACTCACTTCTAACAGCGTTTTCCATTTTCGTGCCGACAAAAAAGAGTATCAAAGCTAGAGCCGCAGACGGTATGTTAGCTAAGGCAACCGCTCTGGGCTACTTTTCACAAGCTGTAATGTTTCGCGAGCAATACACGTCCTCGCTCAGCGACTTAAAGAGGATCGGTAAAATACGGGACAAAATGGCTAGTTACATTGAAGAGCGCAATCTGCGTGCCAATGTGCAGACTAATGATGCCCCGGCAGCTCCATTGAGGATCTAAGTTTGCTTGTGGAATATCTAGTTGCCCATGCTGACGCTACCACTGAGCTCATATCTGTGCACGATGCCGCTCTATTGACAATGATGTGACATACGTTTGGCAGAGCGATCGATAACTTGCTTCGCCCGTAAGCAGCAGCTTTCTACTGCGGCTTCTGGAGAATTGTTCCCGCACATTGCTCGAATCAAGACATCAGTGGTACAAGGGGTCTCTATGTAAAGCATGTGAAAGATGGCAGCAGTGCCTGCTTCACGCTTTTGTTTCGTCTGCTTGTCATATGTTACGATGGGCCCTCGAAAATTCTGTTCCCATTAGCACCGCGCTTTGCTGACTCTGAGCTGCCTGGAAACCAGCCGAATTCCCAAGATGAAGCTGTGTTGTACTAGGATAAGCGGTTAGAGGCCAAATACACCACTCCGAACCGCCGCAGAAGCAAGAAAGGAGACGGCCGAACATTGCAAGCTATATTACCGAAGTTATGAAGGACACTCTGAAGACGATGCCTTCGTCTATAAGCCGGGGTGCAACACATAAAACGACTAGCCACTTTCTATGTCGAGGTGCTGCTGCGTACGCGAACGCGTCGCCAAAACTGGTGATCCAGTGGATCTCCTCCACACCCGGTGTTTGGCTGTTGGAGTCGCGTACAAAGGCGTTTGCCTACATTGGTACGACAGCCAAAGAGGATCAGATCGTTGCCAAGATTTTAGCTGGATACCAAGCCCCCGACTTACCCGAAACGACACCTACTATCCGTGACCTAGAGCAGCGGCTGCGAACACTCGAGTATGGTCAACTCATCACACTGCGAGAAGAACGTTACTACCACGTCCTTGGTTCCGACGATGTCCACTTAAACGTAGCCGGCGAAGCTGTCGACGTCACTCTTGCTTCTCTATTGATGCACTTGAAAGCCACTCTCGCCGCGATCAATGGCAGCACAGCCGTATCCCGGTACTTGTACAAACTGGAGCGCAGAATCAATGCCACGAACGCTCGTCTCGGGTCCTGTATCACTATAAGCACGTGGTTGAGTGAGGATTTCACCTAAACGGGCATTAACAGGCATCTAATCACGCTCAACTCAGCAGCGCCGTGGCTGGTCGCGACACGCTGCTCTCCTCAACGCTCCGACACTTCTTGAACCAGCTCGTGTCCATCAACGAAAGACTTAGGCGCCTTGAAGATGTCCAACCCCAGCGACCTGCTAATGGTTCAACGACGAGCCTAGTGCCGACACGTTCACCCGCTGCTGTGGCTCCCACTATTCCACCGCCCGCTAATGCGTTGCCCAAGGCTCCCGAGTCAATAAAGACTCTCCATGGCCTTGCAAAGCCCTTCACGCTCGCTTGAACGACCAGCAAGCCCGGCTTGCACACACTCTTCTCGTAAGAGAGCTCAGCTCTCTTCGGGGCTGCGCCCCGTTGCCCTCAACCTCTCTGAGGCACAACAAAACTTAGTTCTCCCCCAGTAGGCGCGGGGCGGCCTACTGAGGGTTGCCGCTTCCCGGCGATGACCCGAAGGGCTGGCTCGCCGGAGCCTCGCGCTTCTTACGCAGAGAGCAATAGGCCCTCAAGTACTTAGTGCTAACGCACACAAAGCATCGGCGGATGCCGGCGCGCAGCTCCGCAGAGAGAAGCTCCGCTTCTTCGTCTTCAGCATAGCTGGGGTCCATCGGCTCTGAACCGCTCGAAGAGCTTGCGCTACTAGCGCTCCAACCAGGTCGATCCGACCTGAAGCTGTGCTCGGCAATCAACGCCACATCCACAGCCACTTCGAAAGAGATAGGGTGTTCACGGAACACTTCCGTTCGAGCTGCGCTCACACGAAGTCCCTCCAAGAACACGGTCACGCTGACCAGTTCCGGAAGAGAGTCCGCCGCCATTCCGGCGATAAGAGTTCTTAACTCTTGGACATAGTCCAATAAATCCTTCTTACCCTGGCGGGTAGCAAGGGACTTCGACTGGATACGGTACGCCTGATTAGGCGGCGCGAGCACGCGCGAAAGCTGTTGCTTCAGCTGATCCTAAGTGGGAAATGCAGCGTCAACAGACGTGTCGCACGTTAGTGCCCATTCGCGTGCGCGACCTCCAAGCCTGGAGATAGCCAGCGTCACGCGCTGATGCTCAGACTGGAGCAGGGCCGATACCATGGCCATCTCGACCTCACGGGTCCAGAGAAGGAGATTCTCTCCATCCTTCCCCTCGAAGTTTTTTTACGCTCACCATGAGCGGTTTCAGTCTCATAGACCCTTCACGCGTCATCGACGCCGCCGCCGTTGCGGTGCTCATCTTCTCTTGGACGTGCTCCAAGAGCGCGTTGTCGTAGCGGGAGAACGATTCCAGCCTGGCGGTGACCGCCTCTGGACCTTGCGATGCAAGATGAGCCACGCCCCCCGGGCCAAGCAAGGACATAAGCTTAGTAAGCACGTCCTGCTGCGCCGGGGCCAAATTCGCGAACACGGGGTGTTCCATCCTCGCAGAGGATATAGGCAACCGACTCAGGAGCGGGATTGACTACAAGTGCCACCAAGTGCAGCCGGGCTGCCGTATCTTTAGCGTCAGAGGAAGACGTTCGACACAAAGAGTCACTAATACTAAGTTCCTTATCCAAAGGACACTTACAGCCCAAGATCAGGGACTCAAAGCTAATACCTTAACATTTATGCTTCAAAACCAGAAGTGTTTTATTTACTATTATTGCGGCCAAGCCGCCTAGGGGTAAATGTATCTGTTTAACTATCTAGCATAGTTAAACCTATTCAAATGCATAACGTGTGGCTTTCAGCCAACGTACTGAGAGACCTTGCTAACTCTCCAGCTTTTGTACTAAAAGTATGTTAACTCTTCAACTTATGTACTGAGAATTTGTTAACTCTCCGGATACTCCGTACCCCTGTGTGCTCCACACCATGTAACCCCGTTTCAGAAGCGCTCCGGTTTCCGAGAGGGGTGCATCCGAATCAGGCTGTAGGGGCTAATTCTTGAAGGAATGCCCCGAGCTGGGGGGGGGGCTCCGGCGTCTGCGTTGCCGGTAGGGTCGGCGTTTGCCTCACTGCTCGCCGTTTCATGACCTGGCAGATTTCCGATTGCCGTTGCCGTTTTGTTAAGTGCAGATTGCCGATCGCCATTAATTGAGCTAAAGTGTAGTTTCGGGTATTGACCAATCGGCTTCGAAAAGTTTGAGTTCCAGTGCCTCTTAATCTTTCATTGCACGAGCGGAGGCCGTTTTCGTTGTTGTCGGAAGAGCTCAGGAGAAAACCGAGAAGAGCGGTGAGCGCGCTCATCGCGATGTGGTCACTACCGTGAAGGTCACCGAACTGTACGAGATGAGGCCTATCAATGTAATGTATCATTGACAACGATGAGCCGTCGATTGAGTCTCCCTCTAGCTTCGCTCTATTGTAGACAGTGAACCTGTCATGCATGTCCGTGTGACTTTACTGAACAAAGTCGAAGGCTTTAATTCGCTCATTATTCATTTTTCCTGCTGCGATGCTTCAGATAACTGCGTACCACAGACGACGACTCGCTGGTCAGCTAAGACAGCTACAGGACTTGGACGAGGACAGACCACAGCGGCGGAAGATTGAATATGCTCGCCATGACCATTTACTCGACCCCGACGAGGGATTTGAGAGGGCGAATGGTTTAAAAGAGTCATGTCATCTATATGGTCGCCACCGGGCCTCTGTCTGAGGGCTCGTCGGAGCAGGAAAATCTCCGCTTGACAGCGCTCGGTCGGTGGCTTAAATTCCCCGAGGCAGATATCCCCAATCGGGAGTGCGTCATCCTATGCAAATTCGGCTGCACTACGTAGACTGCTCTACTCTGTTATTTTTCACCTAAAAGTTGAAACACGAATTGTTCATTGACCCTT